GGATCCTGGTTGCTAGGAACCTGTTTCCTTTTGTTTCCTTCATAAAACATCACCTGGACTTCTGGGAACCATCTAGAAGGTTGCACAGAATTATGCATGATTTTTTTTTTCCATTTATTTTGATTGGTTCTTAATTGATACTTTGGTATTCAATATCTAAATTTATGAGCTAGGAAAAAAAAATATGAGTGAATTTACTAAGGTATGCACATGTTGTGTTGAAAACTGTGTATGTATATCTGACAGTAATAAAATAGGGATAAAACTTGGAATGGTAAATATTTCTTTTTTAAAAATCAATCAAGATCAAGTTATTAGGTTAAGTAAGGTAAAATAAAAATGGCCGATAAAGAAATACCATATTTAATCTGCAGATCGTGGAATAAATATTTTAGCAACATTATTTTATTTTGAAAACAGACACCTTCCAGAACAAGGACATGTTGTCTGAACTAAAAGACTTAACATCAAAATAATGGTGTTATAAAATTTGGCAAACTTTTCACCATATGTTCAGTATATCAAGATGTAAATAGCGATGACTTTGTTTCAAAAAACGTTGACCTCCTTTTCTAGCAATTTAAACACGGGGTTAGGATTTGGGATTTTATAAATGTGTAATACGACAATCTGAACTTGTGATGGGCCAAAACAGTCTATCTGGATCTGTTCCAATTCCAGGTTCTTTAAATTTGCATTCAATGGTATGAGTCATGCATGGCCATGATCAAGACTGGAGTGTTGGAACAGATTAGAAATTATGTAAACATCATCCCATTTGTCTCTCTATCTTATCCTACATATGCAAAATAATGCTCATTTATATGTAGAACAAAAAATTTTTTGACATTCATTAGCTATTCAATTTTAACTGTTTAATCCATTAATCTTTTGTATATATGTGGAACAACATAACTCAGTTGGAATTTCCAAATTACAAATATTGATATTCAAATTATTTCGTTGTCGTAATCAGACCTAGATCCTTGTATCTTGATTATATTTAGGCCATGAAGTTAAAATTTCTAAAATGCATTAAAAGCTTAAACATGACTCAGTTGGAATTTCCGAATATTGTTAAAAAATTTTTGCTGTCGTAAACAGATCTCATTATATCTTGATTATTTTTGGTCATGAAGTTTGTTCTAAAATGCATAAGAGGCTTAAAACAATTAATATTTATGTAGTTTTTTCTGATTTCTCATCGCCTTTCATACTGCTTAATTACTGACTCACTTTTTCATTAATTGGTCCTTGGCATTCTCAATATGCCGCATGCAGAGATTTTGGAAGGTTCCCAATTCCATGGAGTCCACTCTGTTATGAAACTCATTGATGTCAATAAAACGCAACCCCCTGAAACAAAACAACAAAGTCTTTTTAAGTCCATGTAAGTAACATGACATTTGTTGTAAAAAAATTCTTAAAAGAAAAAAAAAACCAAGAGAGCCCATTGTGTGGTTATATATGTAAACTTATATTTACTTCTAACTCAGTTGTATTAAAAGCAACAAATAATCATTCCTTTTAGAAAACAGAGTAGAAAAATGTTTAGGATTATTTATCATAATAAAGATGGGAAAATCTCTTTTTTTAAGCTAGCTAAAAAGAAAAACCTCATTTCACTGATCAAAGGGAAAAAGAAAAAAAAAGATTTTTGTGGTGATTGATAGATTGTTCATACAGTCATCTGACAACTAGGTGGAGCTTTGGTACCAGTAAATAAAAAAATAAATAAATAGATTTTTTTTTAGAAAAAGAAAACTTACCCAAATTTGGTGTGCCAGAAATCTAGCACCTGTAACATGCATGGGGTGGTGATGTGAAGTTTCTGGGACATAGCTTCCAGGCCAGCAACGTAGTCCTTATGCCAGGGTTTGGGTACCACATCCATCTCTTCCCTGTGGGGAGGGCGTTTTTCCTCCACATCTTTTTCTTTTTCTCTCTGATCCTTTAGGACAAAATCAACTGGAACAGAAAGAATTCTTTGTAGATGCAAAATCAATTGGCTCATGTTAATGGAAAGTTATAAAAATGTCTAAGTCACGACCTTCTTAGCTTTTTTCAAATTAATTTATATTTTTAATGTACATCTGAAATGAAGGTCTGAGACTATAAGCAACAAATTGACAGCATCTATTTATTTGGTAGATAAAATGTTATAGTTTAAACTAATTATTATGATCAAATCAAGGTGAAAATCTTGATTCTTACCAATTGCTTTCTTTACACTTAAAAGATAGTCCTCTCTCATCTCATCTGATAAGTTTTCAATGGTATCAGAGTGCCCTCTCTGGAAAACAAAGATATCTCATTCAAAATCTTAAGAAAATCACCGAGATGAAAATCCACTTTTTTTTTAAAAGGGGGCCAGAGTGTAGACAATATTCAATATTTACTTTACAAAGAAATAATGAGATACTTTCTCAAACAAACCTTTAAATCCTCTGAGACAAGCCCTAGGACATTTTCAAGCCAAGAGTCCTCCATTGGAGCTACATGCTCTGTGTCAATTCCATTGTGAATGTAGTAGTAATATCTCTGTAAAGAGCGTAAATAAATGGTGTCTTACTATCCAAAAAATTACAAAATTAAAAAATTTTCTTATATAAGTCTTTTTATAAACATATTTTGACACAAAGATGAGAGAAAACTTAATTAATGAACAAACACATATATTAATGGGATGATTTATCGAACTAAAATAAAGCAGTTTGAAATATGTGACTACAGATACATTGGAGGGGGCAACTTCTTTACAAATGAACAGATATAGATGAAATAATGTGATATACCAGGATATCTTTATCAGCAGCTGTGGGTGATCCCGTTCTGGACAAGGGAGGTAACTCTCCATTAACGGAGCCTGGTGCACTGTGGGGCTGAATTCCATCCTCTTGCCTAAGAACAGTAATAAACTTCAAAATGAAGCATTCATAACATATTTTACATTTAATTTCTTTTAATTATTCTTCTTATTTAATATGAAGATCTCTTTTTTGATCATTCTTCTAGATGATGACAAACTTACATGATGATGTCAACCAAAGCCTTTCTAAAATTTTCTCTGTCTTTCTTTGGTTGCTGAAACTGGGTGATGTCTGCATCTGTGCCATTCTGTTTCTCTATTGGTTTTAATTGATTGGGCTTTCTACGTTTTGGTTCTCCTGTTCAAAAACAATCAATATTAATAATCAAGATAATACAGTGAAAAATATAATGTTGTAAATTTTAATACAGACGTATATTCTCTTCAACAGATCATGAGATGACTCTGCATGAGGTCATGTTCTGGCCCCAGGATCATGAAAAAAACTTAGACTTAAGTCAAATTTTCAACTGCCTGTAAATTAAATGTTTCATAATTGTCAACTTAATCTCTAAATCTGCAGATAACAACACTTTTGTAAAGCAATAATGAAAAATATTTTAATTTTGCTCTGCTTGACTTCTATAACATTTTAGAACAACATGAAGATTTTGACTTAAGCCTAAGATGTTTCATGATCGCAGGGTCAGAACTACTAAGTTAAGAAAATATATAATGGTTTTCCTTAATTTGTGCAATTTGTGTTTATCTATAATTATATAAACTAATAGATGAGGTAAAAAAGGACATCTCCATATCCGAAAGGATATTTTTCTGTAATTCTTCAAACCCTGACATTAAAAATAAACAGTATGTTATTCCAAGGTTGCATGTTGCCAAATAGCATTTAATATCTAATACCTAAAGAACAATTAATTTTCCCATCTGATGAAAGAAAGAAAGAAATCCATACCTAATTCACTTCATGATATGCAAAAATGAAATAAGATGTTCACTTATGATGGTCAGTAAATAATGAACTTACTTGCAGTGAGTTCTCCTACAAGATCTATTCCATTTTTATCCTCTCCAAGAATTTTTCCTGATAGTTCAAAATTAGGTTGAACTTGATGCCATGCTGGTTTAGTTCTTTTAGAAGGTAAAACGGGGAGGAACCTAATGGGGTCATCAGTGCCCTTCCCTTTACTCCTTCCATTTGCTCTACGTGGAGTAAGCTATATATAAAAAAAGAAATATGTACAATAACATAAATATAACCTCATTGTCACAAACTATGGCAAAATGCAAGATCCTCTACCATTCTGGAAAAAACTAACATTATATATGGACTCCAACAAGTGGCGACCATGAGATGGTAACATTACTCTATACCTTATATAATTATATAAACAGATACATTATAATTTAACCATATTTTTTGTATATCAAATTATCAATGATACGTACTCCTACAAAATCAAGGCTAAGTTTGCAATGTATAGAAAAAAACTTTCTTTCTTTTATAGAACAAACTTTTTTGTACAAGTAATATGTAACTCCGAGGTGTTAGATAAGCAATCAAAATATTGAATAACAAATCAGATATATTATTTTCAATGGTTTAATTAGCTGCAGCATATCAATTGAACTATGAAATAAATTGACATTTTTGACTGAATTCTTGTATGTGAAAAACACGTTCATTCGATTGAAATGTGTATTCGACCGAGTGCACCGTTATATTTTGACAACAGAAACCTTGCTTACTCAGTTATTGTACATTTTTGCACTCGCATGATCTTTATATAGATATGAATTCAATTAAAAAATGTACTTACATCAAAGTCTGCCATTTTTCAATTACCGTGACCATATACCAATGACATTTAATCAATTAGTCGCGTGTGTCCTTCATTTGTTTGGTATCGATGGGTCATTGAAACTTCCTCTGAGCATAAGAAAATGGCGGACATATGCGTTGCGTTGCTAAGCAATAATCAATAATCTCTTTAAAATAGATAAAAACGTTTTAATTTGTAAAAACATAAATCTTATTATTGTAATTACAAAATGTGCGAGAAAAGTTTCTTTCAGCTCATTATAAGTTAAAGATGTTATTTCCGTAAACTACCGAAATCACTCGAGAAATATTCAAATTTGATGACGTCATATTCGTCGTTACAAATTTTAGATAAGTCGTACTATATTTGCGTTTTTCCATCTCAAAGTCAAAATGAGTATTTTGAACGAAATGAATCAACATCTGTTAAGAATCAGTGTGGCAGGTATTGCTGCACTTCTAGGATTGAATAGTTATATGGGATTCAAACAACACAGTAAGAAAATCAATATATTCTAACTTATATGACTTAGTTCGAATTTCCTATAAAAATTAGCCCGAATTTCCTATACAATATGTAGTCAAAGCAAAGCATAATATTCTAATATTGTTTCTTTAACGCCATGAAAATTCAGATAAGGTCAGAGGAAAAAATAATTTTTTTTATCAAGTACGTATATAAAAATCAGGGCTGTTTCGAGATAGCAGCAAGTAGATGTCTGTTAGACTTTGGATGTAAATGTCTCAGTAATAGCTAACTTTGGAACGAAGTGAGCTGAACTCAAGTGAAAATGGATATCACTGACAGATCTTGGTCCATATATTTATGGCACACATCTTTATTGGTCCTCTGCTGCCCGTTCCAATGTTCCCAACATGTTCTGTTTTCCCCAGGGTTGTAAAATTGTTGTTGGTCCAGGTCAACAATGTGGTTCTTGGTTTTGTAGCTCATCAACAGCCTGTGCTTGGTATGGTGTACTTGGAATGTTTCCTACCTGAGCCTGTCCAACATCGCAGTACATTATACACGCTGCTGCATCCCTCTAGTTCCTTATCTTATGGTACGTACACCAGGCAATCATCTTCAAAGAGCCTTGCATCTGATGTGGTGAACTGGGGGAGGTCATTGATGTAAAAGTAGAGGAACAAGAACTGTACCCTGCCCTCCAGACAAGACTTCTAATAGTTCAGACTTTGACCTTCCAGTAAGACAGATTGTGTTCTATTACTGAGTAACTGTCCTCTATCCACTGTAATGTTGATCCTCTAATTCAACAATATTTTCATGTGGGAGATGGAGTGGACCTTGTCAAATGCCTTCGAGAAGTCTATTAGTACAGTGTTGGTGTGGGACCCCTCATCCAGGTTTTTGGCTATCTGGTATATTGTCTGGATAAGCTGAGTTTCTGTAGACCTCCAAGATCTAAACCAATGTTGTTCATCACAGAAAACAGTGGTCCATGGTGGTACTGTGGACTGTATGTTCAAGAATCTTACATGCAATGGATATTAGTGACACAGGTCTATAGTTGGAGGTAAGTGTTTCTCCCACTTCTTGGATATATTGTACACCAGTTGTCCGGTATTCTTCCATTGTCTAAAGACATCTGGAAGAGCCGGGTGAAGTATGGAGAAAGGGTATCTGCTGCAGTCTTTAGGATAAAGGCAGATACTTCATGAGGTCTTAAAGCCTTGTAAGGTATTACAGAATTATGTAGGTTCCTGAGTAATTTCTCTTCTCCCCTCTCATGAATGATGGAATGGAAGTTTGGATGATTGTTGGTTCCCAGATCTGGTAATGAGGACAAGACCTCTCTGGTATATACTGACTGAAACTGGTTGTTGAGGATGAAAATTAAATGTGAATTTACATATTTATACATTTTAGCTTGAGTTCAGTTTACTTGTTCCCAAAAATAATTACAAGTATTATTGATGTATTTTATCAAAAATCTAACTTGTGGCTAGGTGAGTTGTCCATTCGAAAAAAGCTAGCTCGATATTTACCACTAAGGTGCTAGGTTAACCGCTATGATCTTGAACTCACCCCTGGGCAAGCTCTGTCTCTATCACTTTCAATATCACTTGACATGGGTCCTTTTAACCATAAATCAGCCTACACTGATGTTTGTAATTTTATCAGTTTTTGATTTCAATGAAGGTGTTGCTTGGTTACTGAAAAATAGAAATTTCAGTAAATTCTTTCAAAATGCTACCGGGTACTTCTCCTAAAGTTTTGGTCAGATTTCAATGAAACTTTTTATAGGAGTAGACGACACTAAAGATGCATAATTCTGTGCATTGTGTTTTTATTTCATTAAACAGTGTTGATTCTGAAAAGATAAACCCTAATGTCATGATACATTTGTCATTAATGCATCAGAATATCAATCCCTAATTAATCAAGGAGCATACAAGTATCCTATATGTGACTTGAATATTCTCCAGCTACTGTATCCATCCCAGCTAATATGTTTTTATGCCCCCATAATTGGAGAGTCAGGGGCATATATTTTTTGGTCTGTCCATCTATCTGTTTGTCCACAAAAACTTAAACCTTGTCATACTCGTGTATTCCTTTTGACAAGACCTTTCTTAGGGTACCGACATTTTTTACCTCATGACCTTTACCTTTGAGTTTCACTTACAATTTGAAAATTTTTAACCTTGCCCATAACTTTTGAACAGTTGGTGCTAGGGCTTTCATATTTCAATTGTGTATTCCTTGTAATAAGACCTTTCTTTGAGTATCAACATTTTTCACGACCTTGACCTTCGAGTTCCACCTTTTGAAAAACTTGAACTTTGGCCATGAGTTGCCATTCATTATCATCAGACTGTTTCACAAACACAACCTTGTTGTCATTCAATAACATGAATAATGAATCTCTAGTTCTCATAAATATTTTTATACTCTGTAGGAAAAGTCAGAGAATCGGGATTCTACAAAGACTCACTGGAGTTGGTCAGGAACTATCCTCCAGCAGTTCAGCATTTAGGGGAACCAATCACAGGAGGGAGGGTAACCTACTCAGACTCCTCAAACACACTGACAGACACAGATGTTTGTGTAAGCTTGTTCAATACTACAATCATAATCTCCATGTATAGTAGATTCAAAATTGTTAAAGTTATTGCTCCCAGGGCTAAGATTTGGGAATTTATTATGCATGGGGATGATGAGTGCCCCTTCATTTGCACAGATTTAAATTCCCATTACATAGGAATACTTTTTGGAAGTTTCATTGGAATTAATCCAGTGGTTCTTGAGAAGTTGTGAATGTAAAAGAGTTCAATGCAACAAAGGACATGGAAACTTTGACACAAAAACTCTTTTGAGCTTTCATTTCATGTGAGAAAAAAAAACAAAACCTGCAATGAAAAACGGTGTATTTTAACCTTTAAAAGTTGAGATGCTTTCAGGTTATACAGTTGAACTTCGGTGTCTTGAACACAGATATCTAGAATACCCTGGATATGTCGAAGTGATATTTAAGTCCCAACTTCTTATTCTTTAAAGGATTTTACTCTGGATATCTTGAATCCTTGGATATCTCAAAGTTTCTTCTTGGTCCCATCAAGTTCCGCATTAACTAGGTTTGACTGTATTTTCCTTCCTATTTTCAATATCAAACAATATATACTTGAGAAACTTAATAACCTTGGAGATGCCACATTTTGGCCTTGACCTCAAAATATGACCTTGATCTGACACAAAACACTTAGACTAAATGCACAGTTTCTCTCTTGCACAGCTGCAAGTTATGGCCAAAGTTAAAAATTTTGTTTGGACAAAAAAGCAACAATTGTGCTGTAACTGCACATGAATCCTTTTATAAGGAAAACTAAAATAAAACAAAGCTAAACAATAACTGTGTAATATTTACTCCACCAATTTTTTGGGAATACATAAAACAGTCCCAGCAACATTTTGACTTATGCATTCAGCATCTGCATCCGAAGTACATGGTGATCTCACTGTACAGGCAGCAAAGGTGTTTGCCAAATTCACCTGAAATCCCCCCACATTGACATCAATCTCGCTCTGGAGGTCAGCCAGTGCCTCTTGCATAACAGCATCTCTAACTTCTGTAGCTTCTAGTTCACATTTTACTTTTATTTCAGCATTTCTATCAGAAATTATTTTTGTGCATTCTTTCTCGGCTTCCTGAATTCCCTCTGCTTGTCCCATGTTTCCTCCATCGGTTTTTCCTTCCTTCTTGCCATCTTCTAATCCTGATTCTCGTGCCCTCCCTGGAATCAAAAGAAAAACAATTTTAATTTTAAGGGATAAGCTTTTTTTTCTTTTTGGTGGTGGGGGGAGGAGCAAATGCAAATATGCAAATTATCAAGCCTTAGGACAGAATTTGGTATCATAAAGAAACAATACATAATCAAAGGATCAAATTCCATTTTCCTTTTAAATACAATGGGATCACATATATTTGTCATTTTGACACTTAACAATTAATGCAAAATAGGACATTAATCTAAATGTTTAATTTGTGTAATAATTGAAATCACAGGAGTCCCCCTTCCATTGTGTTGAAGGTCTTTTAAGTACTTAAGCTACTTGAGTTATAGAAATTAGTTTTGATCCAGAACTTTGAATTTTGTTGGTGAAATATTATAGAAGTACTTAGTGTGATGTTTTCTGCTCTACCATAATTGTTTCTTGAATCATACACACTACACAGAATACAATACATAGACATACTTTAAACCAACTTTTATTTGCATGCGAAAAATATGCTCCAGCTTCACAACCCAATTTTTAAATTACTCAAGAATATTCATTACTGTATACAGTACTTTCTTCAATAACTATCAAGAAGTGAGTTTACTTTTCTTTGCCTCTTTGCATGTACATAGTGTATATGTAATGTTTGTCATATCTTGTCTTTCTGTCTATCCCCTATACATGTGACTTATATTTTCCAGATCAGTAAATACATGTATAGATAAGATTTTAAAATTCCAAAGGTTTGGACTCGGTGAGTATTGTACTCCTCAGGTGGCTAAATCATTGTATTGACCTAAAAAATAGCAATAATTGTATAATATTGCTAACATAATCCAAATTTAAATGTGAACGACATATAACAGGTACTGTACAGCAGGTTAAAATCGCGGTCGGAAAAGATTGCGATTTGTTCAACTTGCAGCAAATCGCGATCGTTTGAATTCGCAGAAAGGAAAAATTATACATAAACTTTTCCAGCACTGAAAGTATTTTCCTTGCCTATTTGTGTCGATTCTGAACCCAATTAAATAGAACAAAACTTACACCGTACTGGTCTTGATAAGAAGATAAAATGTTGTACGATTTATAATGTTACGCATTCAGATAAATTTTCTTTCTTTCTTTCACTTGTTTTCTTTCTTTCTTTCTTTTTATCATATATTTTTGAAATACATTTGACTCGACTGATTTATTCAATTGATTTCAAGTCGTATCCAAAACATTTATGTAAAAAAAGAAGCCCTTTGGCAGGTGTTCATTCATGAATAGGTATGTTTTGAATAGAGTACAGAGTAGTATTTACTGCAGTATATTTAATACATCCCTCTGAATCTAAACCAGGTGTCAGTACCGATAGTCAAAATTTGACTGTTAATAAAATTGAATTAATGTGTAACAGTCTTGTCTTTACTACGTAAGTGCCTTGATTAAAGATAAGACTGAGTGATAAGCACGGGTGAAATATGAAACAATACATATTTTATAGATAATTACATTGCACCTCTACTAAGTGGTTTCAATTTATCCTTATCAATTTTTGAAGAATTATTCACTGTATGTTGAATTCGCGGAATTAAAATTCCTGCAAATATAGTGAAAATTAACTCCGCAAGTTAATTTCCTGCTGTACAGTATATGCACCAAGTGGGTCCAAAAATAAAGGATTTTTCAAGTAACCCTACATTTAACTCACTCAAAGCAATGCAGATATAACTATTAATCCAGAAAGTAGTTTCTGTCCATTAGATCTGAAGTTTTAGCACTAAGCACTGAGCTCATAAAATGATACCCCCCATATGAGTATAATGGCAGAGTCCATGTTTTGCTATGGAAAAGCCCTAATATGTGTCTGATCAAAACATAAAATAGGAGATGCACTTTGAGACTGTGTAATAAAGATTGTTGGAAAGTCTCATTAAATGTTATTCAGTGATATACATATAGGAGGAGCTGTGGATAAGAGATGGGCACCCCCAATGTTATAGAAAGAATGGCAGTGCCCTTGTTTTCCTATGAGAAACTCAAAATATGTGTCTGATCAAAACATAAAATAGGAGGTGCACAATAGCACTATGTAATAAAGATTCTCTGATGGTTTCATTGAATTTTATGCAGTGGTATAGGAGGAGCTGCGAATAAGATATGGATACTTCCAAGCATAACGGACAGACAGACAGAGGAATGAATATACAGACAGATGGACAGACAAAACCCTCATTCCCTGTATACATTTTCCCTGCTTACCAGTTTCCACAAAAAATTCCACCAGACAGACACCAATATATCCCAAAGAAGCAAAGGCAGTGGACGCTGTTATAACTGTGAGCCCTGCAGTCGCCAGATCAGACTGTTGGTTTGTAGAGGATGGAGCAACGGCAATCAACAGACAAGCTGTGGCAACCCCATAAAACCACAACCATATCTAAAGATACAAAAGAAATAAATTCTGCAGAAATATTATTTTTTTGTTTGATCATGTGTAGTTTAACATCCCTTTTGAGAATTTTTCACTCATATAGAGATGTCACCATATGCTGGTGAAGGGCTTGTAATTTAGATCTATGCTCAGCACTCAGGGCCATTGAGCAGTAAGGGTTCTTTATTGTGCAGATGCCTACCATGACACGGGACCTTGGTTTTTAAGGTGTCATCTGAAAGAACAGTAAATTTCTCTTCTAATGCCAGGCGTTTGGCAAAGGAACAGTCACTACCTATGTTTAAGTCTTAGGTTTGATGCGGCATGGCAAACGAGAATCAAACCCAGGCCTCCCAATCACAAAGTGTATTGTTTTTTAAATATGTTATTAAAACAAGATACTGTGAGTCATGTTATTACAGGTATATTGTGAAATTCTGACAGTAATTTTAATTTTTTACAGCAAAAAAATCCTTCCTTCAGACTAACTAAAGGTATAAAAAAAAATATATCAAGTAATGGATTCAGATATACACTTCACAATCATTTTAAATTTAACTGAACTTACCATCTTTTATGTTAAGTTTTTTTCCTCTACATGTCAACATTCATTATTTGTTTCGGTTACCTTACAATGATTTTTGTCTGATTAGTTACCCATCAAGGATAGGTGTTGTATAATACACAGTCGCCCTCAGCTAACGTGTTTTTTGATATCATGTCATCCAATGCTTATTTGCTTGTCAGTTACTTTACATTATGTATACCATCCTGAACACACAGAAATTTGACTAAGGATGTAATAATAAGTGTAGACACAGAAATTTCTCGAACAATAAGTTAAAAAGGGTGGGGGTGGGTGGGTTGGGGTGTAAAATCAGGGTCAGTGGCAATTAATATACAGGTGTCATAAAGATACTGATTTCTTGAAAGAGACTCAATTAATATGATGTGGTAGATTGTAGCTTAGGGTTCTTCTTTGGAAAAATTCTAATCCTTTAAGGTCCATTTGTGATTTACATGCAGAAGATGCTGAGTTGGATGTATTACCCACTCATACTCTTGAACACATCTGCTTTGTAACAAATGAGTTAAAACATGAAGTCTATACTTTGACAAAAAGTGTTGTTGTTGTTTTTTAATTTTGCTTTATTGTTTATTAAGCTGAATAAAAAGACATTTACTCTAAAAATTGTGCTAGTTCAAAAAAAGAATGAGATTATTTCATGAATTTCCTACCACAAACAATGATGTCTGATTTTTCTTTTGAGTAAAATTTGAAAAGTCATATCCTTCTGGCAATGGAGTCTGTAATGCTCTTAAATTTTTTAAATTCTTTTGCTAATGCAAAGAGGGGTCTTGTCTATGCTCTCAACAATTATCCTGCAAACCCTTCTGTGAAATTCTTTTCATTTGGATGTAAATAAATTGATTATCATTTAATGTTAAATTTACTTTCATTTTTTTTTTTACGTTCAGGTGTCAGTACCTCTCTATGGTCCCAAAGGAGAAGCAGCGATGCAGATATGGTCACGTAGAAATTCAATAAAGGAAGAGTGAGTTCATGTTGTTCCAGCGAATCATTTGATTGAAAATATGTGTATATATCTTTCCTCATTCCCGTGTTTTCTGAAATAGGCTAGAAATGATAAGTTCACTTACACCAATATTACCCAATCGTTAATTTGTACATGTAGGATACTGGGGGAAAAAAATGTTATAAAAATTTGTAAAACAGTCTATACAGTCTTTATGATAGGTAAACCACAAACATTGTATTTATAACAAAATTTTCGTTTTAACCCCATCCTTAGTGCATTCTCCCCAAAATTTATATTTTCAAAACCAGAAATTGCCATTAAAAACTGAAGTAAAAGTCTGAAATATTTGAGATTACTTTTCAATAAATTTAACATTATGTTCCCTGTCTGATTTAAATAAATGAGGAGGACTGTGTTCTCACGTTTTAGAGCCCCACTACCACCCCCACCCCCCAAAAAAACACATTGACAAAGATATTTATCTGAAAAGTTTGTTATATGCAGAACCATTGACAAGCTTCCATTAATTCTTTTTTCTCTACCTTTAAGCTCTGCTGGTGGAAGACCAGAAGAGCTTATGCAATGGTCCATAGTCCTCAGTCTGTCTGTAAACAATTTTCAAAATGCTACTCCTCCTACAATTTTAGTCCAATTTCAATGAAACTTTGTACACAAGTAGAATACACTTAGCATGCCAAGTTACAAACTTCTAATTTAGTTTTTGATTTTTTGTGAAAGGTGTTGGCGTGATTAAAAAATAGACATTTCTGTGAAATTCTTTCGAAAACTCATTGAAATTTTTAACACAATTTAAGTAGACATCGCTAATTAAGTTTCATGTTTCTTGTAATAATTTTGTAAATGCTTAAAAAAAGGGGTTTCAAGTCTTGGTGTTACTTTTCTCTTCCTTCTGCAAACCAGTAAATCAAGTTACATTCTCATCAGAGACTTCTGGGTTTTTTTTCTTTGTTTTGGTTTTTTTTTTCCATTTAACTGATAATTGTCTTTTCTGATCCATGTTACTCTTTTACTAACAACACAACTTTAAGGGAATATCTTTATCTAATGTCATTTCTTTTGCAGCTGGATCATTGACAAATTAGTTCTAAAGGTGCCCAATATAGGTGACTGGACATTTTATACCAAAGATGGGCAAACTGGAAAGTAGGAGTAAATATCATTAATAAAAGTGACTCTTAATTAAGGTGGTCTGTGATATTTGTGAAGATGAAATAGGCAGCTCAGTAATAAAAATGACAGGATGGCAGTTTTACCTACCAGAGATTGGGTATACATACATGTCAATGACCTGTGAACCCATCATGTGAAAAGTTACTGTTTTTATCGACCCCAACATTGTGAGTAATGCAATGATCATGGAGTGTTTTGACATACCTGATGGTATTTTGTGTACTTGTTTTAAAGTTGAAGTTGCTGAAACTTTTATGAATATACAGAAAATGAAATGTATGAAAAATGTTGATTTTAAATAAACTGGAGGAAAAAAAATAAGTTTGGAAGTTCAATTTCTTTTTAACCAGTGTTTAGTTTTAAAAATATTGTTTGACTGATCAAGAAACTGGGAAGAAATTAATGCAAAATAGCTTTTCTTTTTAAAGAATTTCCATTGTTAATCACCATAACATGTTTAGCAAAATTATAAATTTAAGGTAAAAACAGAGAGGGATTAAAATTTATTTTTAGGGTTGATTTTGAATAAGTATAGATTTGCCAGTGATAAAGAATTAATATATTTGTAAAAGTAATGTGAAACATTTATATACATGTACTTGAGCTTTATTCAGTCTTGGCAATGTCATGGAATCTGTACTTACTTTGCACTACACTGTATGTTCCAACTATAAAAGAGGTGGATTGCATTGTGCTGTGTATGCCAACAAAGAAACAAAGCATAGTTCTGTGCTACATGCAAAAGTTAGAGATCAAGACCCATTTTGTGCTATATATCAAATACAGCATCTTCACTAGCCATCTGATCCACTACTCTCCCCACAAACAGAAGAGTAGCGGATCAGAAACCCTTAGCTAGAGAAGATGCAAATACAGAGGCACTGCTTTGTACTATAGGTCAAGTGCAGAAGCACAGCTTTGTACTATATGTCAAGTGCAGAGACACAGCTTTGAGCTATTTGTCAAGTGCAGAGGTACACCTTTGATCTATATGTCAAGTGCAGAGGTACACCTTTGATCTATATGTCAAGTGCAGAGGCAGTGCTTTAAGGTTTTGTCAAAGGTCAAGATGTCCAAAAATTTATTTTTACAATAGCTCCAATAAAACACTGTGCTATGTGTCAAGTACAAAGGCACTATTTTTGCTATATGCCAAATACAGACGCACTGATTTGTACTCTATGTCAAGTATAGAGACATTGCTTTGTTCTGTATGATGAGCACAAAGGCACTGCATTGTGCTTTATTTCAAGCACAGGGGCACTGAATTAAGCCTTACGCTAAGTACAGAGGCACTGCTTTCTGCTGCATTTCAAGTACAAGAAACACTGCTTTGTTCTTTTGACAAGTACAGAGGCACTGGTTTGTGCTTTGTTCCAAGTATATACACATTTAGCCTGGTTCCCTGGCTCATCCTTGCCAAGGCAGGAGAGCCAGGTGGAGTTCATCCAATGCTTTCATATGATTAGTCAGCACAGTTTGTGCTAAATCTTGATTTTTGAACTGTTGTCGTTACCCAGGGAAATAAATATCGACATCACAATATTACAGGTGTAGAAAAATAGATACTACATTGACAGTACAGCTAAATACGACATCATAATGGCATAGATTTAGGGCAGAATCTCCCAAATTGATTTTTTGTCCACCTGGCCCTAGTGTTGTGGAGTACATGATGAATATCAGGAACTGGGAACCAGGCTAATATACTTTTACTGAATTTAGGTATATCTGTACAATAATGAACAAAAATAAGCATAATTTGAATATTTTAATGTTCATAATTATGAAAAATTCATCCAACAAGACAATAGAACTGCAATGAAAATATTTCTCAGCAAGATTTTCCATGTTTATATCTGAAGACACATTCTGAGACTCCACATTATTCTTTCTCAACACACAGTTTATTATTGTTCTAGGTTAGCAGTAGAAATCATAGGAACTCACATTTTCTATGAGTTTGTGTGTCAATCTCTGAACCATGGACCAATCAGTTCTTCCAAGTCTTTGGACTAAAAAATAATTTTAATAATTTAGAATAAAAAAATCAACCTATGTGTTTTAAGTAATGCAAAATTTCCTATACATATAAAAGAAATATAGTAGATTCCTTATTTTACATGAGTATACTTAATACTGTGAAATCACTTATTGATGTCAGTGTGCGACAACATGATTTTGTGAGTGGACTGCTGAGTAATGAGTGAGTAATTTTATTTTGTGAATGGTGATTCTTCAAAATTACACAAAAATAAATTCTTCATAAATATATTTAGATATCTACAGTATGATGTAAAAATACATTACCTTCTAGAAAGATGCCCTCTGTTACTGCTGTATTGGTAATGTCTAATTCCTGGTAGATTCTATTGTAATATTATCACTTGACTGCCTCCTTGTAGTTGTCAATGATGGAGGCAGTTTCTTCCATTGCTTCATTAAAATCATCCTTCAATACAGAGTGAAGCATCTCAAAATTTTGGCAGATACATTGTAAACCACATATTCTAAATTTTCTCACAATTTTTATTTTTTTTATTTTTTTACTTTTAGATGTCAAAATTTTCAAGGGAAGATGTAATTTATCACCAAATATCTAAATCATGTAATTTTGCTTGCAGTAAAATACCCATAAATTGGAGAGAAAAAATTAAAGTAGACAGCAAAATTTCAATAGTATGAATTAAAAAATTGTCTTTTTAATTACAGTGATCGTTTTAAGTTTTTGCTCATATGACATGAATACCTCTGTGGCCCCATATCTCCAGTACCAGTGTAAGTAAGCCCCTGCCTTGTACATTGTCCGAGATCTAGAGAGAAGGAATTCTAGGTAGTCTGTCACAGAGCTGCTATTGGAAGCCACAGTCAGAGAAGCAGATTTAGAGCCAGATAGATTGTTCCTTGCTGCAAATAAAAGTTAGGCTTCATATGAAATGGAAATACATGTGATGTAAATATGTACCAATATAAAATAAACCACAACTACCAAGGTTCATGCTATGTTGGCCTGTGTCTCCCAATAACAATACTGCATCAGGTATATCCTAGGATGAATTTTTTGCTGGATACTGTCACATTTCATCTGCATATCAACAACTCTTCAATCTAAGTCTTACATAATGAACAGAATAAAATTAGCACCTGTCCAAATATCCAGTGGAAATGGATTCCAAGGGACACAACTGTAGGCATTTTTTACTCTCTTCTCCAGGGTTTTCATGGCTGAGTGAAAGCTATCAGTGCTGTCACCTCTGGCAACAATAAGGTTGGCAAGGCTTTTATACTGGGGATCTATTAAGGATTATTTTTAATGAAAATTTAATGGGACATAATCATAAAATTTCGTCAAGGGTTTTACCGAATACAAATTATATTCTCTAATCAAGAACAAATTATGTAACTGTAATACTGTAATAAGGAAGCCAGCTTGGTGGGTTTTTTTTTAAGGGGGGGGGGGGGGGGGGGTAGTGCAAAAACTACCATAAAAACAATTTTGATACCATTTATAATCTGCACACTTTAGTGTTTGTAAAAATTTTCAGGAAAATCTACCATCTGAGTATTTTTAAGGAACAACTACAAATAAGGGTACATTTGCTATGGGATTATATAGAGAATCTCTATTTTGGGGCACTTTAAACCAAATTATAGCTCTGTAACAAAACACCATAGAAGCCAGTTTCTACATTTAAACGTGGTTACCAGTGTTTGTAATACATGTAAAGGATACTGGTTTTCCATCTCTGTCATACCTGTGGAGACCTAACAGAAGCTGACCCATCATTGCCTCCCAGCTTAGCTTGCTGAAATCATATAATAAGAAAAATTGGGTATTTCTCATCAAGATAATGAACACAATCTAGTAAACAGAGGATTTAAAAAAGAATATGAGAGTTACATCTCATGCTTTCATTCTATTTTCATCCCACAGAGGTAACAACTTACCTGCGAGCTATATGGTTGATTTGTATGATTTTATTTCCAGGATTTGGACACAAAGATCTGACCATTTCCCATGGTTCCATTCCAATGCTTGCCCCACTAGAATAAGTGCATACATAAGTGTACATATACATAATCAAACAAAACTTTATAGTACCATTACATAAATTACATTGTGCTTCATAATAAGACGGTAACTATTTGCAGCCCATAAAATTAGAATTACAACGTAAGTAGTGATCTTTCTCTCACAAAAGAAAAAGAAACCTACACACATACAATATTAATTCATTATCTTTTATATCAATCTTCATAAACAACTCTGACTTTTCCTGTTTTACAAAGGTCTCTCATTTATTTATGAAGACGTCCTACCACTTGGTTGTCAGTGTGTCTGTTGGTAGAAACACACCACACAGTGCAGCAGCAATGTTCTCATTCATCTGATTAAACGACACTGTCTCCATTTTCTTCTGTAGCCGCTCCAAGATGTTGTCATTGTGTGTCAAGATGTTACAGTCTGTGTACCTATACTCAGAGATGCAAGAGTTATTGCCCTTTAGCACACATTTCTTAACAATTTAAACAAAATGTACTTTATGAATAATTGTAAGAGTATTAAGAGGCATTTTTGAGAAGATTCAGTCGCATACAAAAGTGATTTGAATTAGGCTTTTTATTCTGAACCACATTCATAGATTTGTGTTCTAAACTTTTTTGTCTCAAACTCAACAGGATTGACAAAAGACTTCAAAATATCTGATGGTACGAAACATTAAGCTGAGACTCAGTTTTAAAAATATAGCTGGGAATGTAGAACAGCTTGACATTACCCAGGTAAAGGATATAATGGTGCTACAATATTTTTACATTACAAGAGTGTTAAATAATTTACCTGTTTAAATAAGCTGTGGTGAGGAGTGAGTTGTAGTGTTGGAGGGGGCTCTCTCCACTCTGGCAGGGAGCAAAGGAACATGACAAAAGATGACTCATGGGGTATTCATCTCGTATTGTCTCACACAGCCTTGATCCCAGACCTGGCAAAAAAAGTACAGCATAACTTCCTTATGCAGAAAACTGTGGATTCTGATATTTTTTCAAATCTGTAGATAAACTTAAAATTTAATAAAATATAGGTTCTACTTGGGCTGAACAAACCAAATATAAATAATTCTGCATGGATTGTGTTTACACTAAGTTTCACTGTACAGTGGTTCAATATATTGAGTACTGATGTATCTGCAAGCAGAGGTCACTAAGCATTTAAATTGAGAGGACACCTGGTACTTGAAACATGCCTACCTGAACCAGTCCCTCCTGATAAACTGTGCATCAAGATACATCCACTGAAGGAATCACACCTATCACATGGGACAAAATCAAAGTTTATATGAGGAAAAAAAAATTGCATACAAACTTAAAAATTAAAATGAAAGTGAAAAAACCCTGACATTTTATAATGATTTAAATCATAAAATTCAACATACCTTACATTTGTTTAATAATTGGAAAGTCAAAAACGTATAAATTCTTTCTGTATGATATGGTACAATTATTAACATTCAGTTGAACTGATACTGTATGTGTACTTAAAAAAAATTTAGTAGCACTAATTCATGATTATGCCAACAACTCCATACCTCCATACCCAGTGACTGTGCTAAATTTTGAATATGCCAATTTATGTACATGTACAGTATCTCGAATCCTTGAATATACATCTCTAGGTTTTTTCTCAATTCAATCAAGTTCAAGATAACGAGGTATGACTGCACTTCTTTTGGTAGAAAATGAGTTAATTTGTGCACCTTTCTATTTCCTTCCTCAGTATTTCCATTGTATCCTCCACTATGTGATCCTCTCCTTTCTTCAGCAATCCATGGTAACCTATCAAGGGGAGATTACTAGATTAATACTATAAGTACTAGTAGTCTTTCTTTTCTGTTTTATATGGATATAATGGTAATTGCAATCATTGCAGAAAAAAATAACCTGCACACTTGAGATGTGCACTTTTTCTGAGATATTGCAACAGTCATATTCAGTATGATAAAACAAAGAAAACATTTTCTTCATTAGATCAGTGCAATGTTTAAGGACTGGAGTCCTTATGGACATGATAAAAAGAAAAGCTTGTTTGAGGAAAGTAAATCATGTATGCATGTTCAGGTTTAAGCAATATATTACTGTTGGAGAAAAGTCAGGATTATTTTGTACAAGTGAAGAGGCAACGCCCTGTGTGGAGAGTGGAAACATAATGATTTGTGATAAATGAAAGCAAAGATTTGTTGGGAGAATAAATGCTAAATAAGAGCATATGTGTGGAGAGTGGATGTTTTTCTTTACGATTGTTGGCAGTTACATGTAGATGAGGCATGTCCATTTACCCAAAAGGAACATCAAAGGACCAATGTGTCCTCTTTGGCTCTTCTGGGTCTTTTTTTTTTTTTGGTATATCCTTGCACCATTTAGATGCTTGTGGAAAGTTAAACTAATCAAGTTATGAATATATTCTACATGAAGAAACTTGGCTTCTGATATAAAAAATGTCAGGGCATCATTGTAGATGATGTTATGCATGGTCACATTTGAAAGAAATTATGTGAATAAAATTTCTAAGGCCTTATTTCTCAAAATATTTGATGTGCTCATAAATAATCCATAAACTAAAATCGTGTTTTCCCAACCTCTGTCCATGAAACTTTTGTGGATTGTGTGTGTGTGTGTGTGTGTGTGTGGGGGGGGGGGGGGGGGGGGTTATTGATAAGTCTTCCATCTTGGAAAAGTAAATACCTAAAGCCCAATTTGTTCCTCTTCCTCTCTTTCCACAAACCAAATTCTTTTTCCTGTTACACAAAAACACACTATATCATTGTATACAGTATAGAAATTCTAACAATTCTCTTCCCAAAAATATGCAGAAAATTTTTAAATTACTGTTTCCTGCAACATGATACTTCAAGATAGTCTATTCTGGTCTAGAGCCTGCCTTGCAAATCATTTGAGACCTCTTATCATAAGAATATGATGCATAGTGAATTACTGAAAAAATAGGAAAAGGGAAGATTTATTGAATAATACTGTGTCCTCAAACTAAGGAGATACATTGTCATAAATAAAAAAGAATAAATTTGCATTTTTTCTGTGTTTCCTCATCAGTTCTTTATACATGTATATACTTCCTCAAATACAAGATTATAAAATGGTGAATTGGATTGAAGGCTGTGTAAAGGCTGTGTAAAGAATTGGTTACAAGGAAATCCAACACCTGGAACCTGAGCAAAATAGTACATGTATGTGCATGGGCATGAAAAATGTACTATTTCAATCACAACAGGTAATTTTTTTCTTCTTCAATTACAATATTTTTATGAAAACATAAAGAAAGATGTGAACATGTGGAAAAAGTAAGTGTTTGAATATTATATTTTTCTGAAGGTATTGTAATATAAATAATATTAAACAGAAAGCATAAAGAAGTAAAATAAAAATTTTGGTTTGTTTTTGCTCAAGACATGCATTTTTTTTTTTACATCATTTTTCAGAATTCCTTGCATCTAAGTTTAAATTTAAAAGAAGATATAATTCATATTAATTTTAAATTTCATCAATATGTTTACATCTCAAAGGGCATCCATTTTTTTCAAATAAATATCATGTACATACATGTAAGGGTAAAATGGACTCTAAAAATGTATTAAAAAAAATTAAAAAAAAAAAAAAAAGGTATTTGCATGGAGTGCTTATATTGTACATAGTGTTGGTAATATGCAAGTAGAATTAGGATTAAGGAGAGAAGATAATATACCCCATACATTGAATTTACACAAAATCTTTTTAGTATTGTCCCTTGACTTGGTCCAAACACTACCCAAGGTTCGATCTCTATGGATGAAGTAGGAAAAAACTCATCCATGCAAGGTCAGAAAATATACATATACTCCAGACAAGGATTTTTCAAAAAGATCTTTTTCATCCTTGACCTCAGATCTAGAAACTTGGCTCAAGATCCCTGCATATCCTGTACCCTAAAGCATTCTTTAGGAAAAGAATGCATATAAGCCCAAATTGGCCAAGAGGAAAAAATATACATGTATACATCAAGAAGATACTGAGTATGGTGGAGATTGATTGACATAATTTAGGAAAACAAAAATATAAACTTACCTAGCAGAACTTGTCTTGGCTATCTTTGCAATGACTTTTGGCTCACTATCAATATGCACAGATCTCTGCATTTCATCAGCATGGAGAAATGTTCGACTGTATTAGAAAATTAGATGTGCATGTATTAGAAAAATACAACTAATGTACATTGCAATTGTTTACATTTTACTTAAGATGCATATATTGTCATTTATATTGTGTTGATACCTAGCATACAACACTTAATAGACAGGTTGGGATCAGTCGCCCAAAGGGATATAATAGCCCATTTGGGATATAAATTAATATATCCCAAATGGGATACAAATTTACAGTGCAAAAAAATGAAGTTTTTCATTTAGATATAAATATCATATAAATTCACATCAAAATACTTAAAAAAAAAACTTTTGGTTAACAAGTTTTTCTGTATCCCAACTGTTTAGGAGATTTATCCCTCGGAAGATCCTTACCTTCTTAGGGATCAATCTCACAAACTGTAGGGTTATAGAAAAAAAAAACTTGCTTGCCAAAAGTTATTGCATCCAGGTTATATTTATGCGGATTTACAGTATTTATGGCCAAAATAACTTTTTCCTTTTTTGCACTGTACATTTATATCCCATTTGCAATGTTATATCCCAAACGGGCTATGATCTGATGATATCCGGTGTTCTTATATATCCAATTTGGGCGATTGGAAATGTGTGTACATATGTTCGTTTCACCTATATACTAAATCTTCAAAGGAAATACATTAATTATATTTCACAATGTGTTACAATTCACCTGTTTTTAACATTTTCATCCTTAACAGTTCTCTTCCAAAACGGCAACCCAACTTGGTTACCACACTGGCCAACATGCAGGAACACTGTTGACATTTTCCAGATCGGGATCGAGATTCTTAAACGCTTGTCATGGATTTGTAACAGAGGTAATTCGACCCCCTGCTAGTAATGAACAAGCAATATTGTCGTCAAGGTACATATAGAATACTTTAACGAATGTTAATGTAGTTTATATGCTATTATATAGATTGTGTATTTTTTAAAATTTAATTTGTTTAGGAAAATAGGGAAGTGAAAGAGGAAAGATAGGAGATTCGAGGATTTTACCTAGTTTGGCAACTTTTGTATATTTTCGCGCGAAAATTCATCGTCCAAAAGTAGAAGGATTTTAGGTATAGACCTAAACCACAATTTTGAATAATTGTAATGAAATACGAGTTCACACTGAAACGTTATGGGGGCTGGCACAAAATTTAATGTCTTTATGGCGTCATGGTCACAATCTGACAATGACGTCAGTGATCATCAAAGTGCTATTATCATGTGATGATCGATGGATTTTTTTTCATAATTCATAGATTTTTGCACTTCGAGACATCATTTTTTCTTAATGTTACAAAGTGTTATTGTGACCTCAAAGTTAAGAATGGGATAATGCTAGGTCAAGGTAAAAAAATGAATGTTCATCCTTAAAGAGACAACAACGCAAACATGCAAAAATTGGTAGCAGTAGAATTTTTGCATGACATACAAAGTGTTATTGTGACCTCAAAGTTAAGAATGGGATATTGCTAGGTCAAGGTCAAGATGAATTTTCATCCTCATAGAGACAACAATGCAAACATGCGGATATTGGTAGCAGAATTTTTGCATGACATGCAAATCTTGAAATATAGGATTTCATAAATTACAAGTTTCAGAACCTAAAAAATCTTTATGGCGAAAAAAAAATTGTCACACCCTAGAGGAAAATATTCCTTCACTCTAGTTCTTCCTTCCAAATTATTGTAGGTGTATGCAAAAAATTGAACAAATAACCATGATCTCAAGTCCCAAGAACTGGTATATAGGTAGATCGACAATTTTGATATTGTCTTCAAGAAAATTCCTTACCTTTGTAGGGTTTTGACACACATCAATATTTGGATTCACCATTTGGGCTACTGTTACACTGACATCAGGTTGCCCAAATGAGTTTTAGTTTGTCCAAAAAAAAAAGCATTGCAAAAAAAGGAAAAAAAAAAAAAAAATTCCTTTCCCTACAAGTTAAACCTGGATCCCGTTAAAAATTGAAAATGCCATAATTCCTTCAAAAATCATTGAAGCGGAACAAAATGCAAAATTGATCTATAACTATTCAAGGTAAAGTCACAGAACAAAAATCAGCTCAATATCTGCAAGCGTTTAGAAAAAAATTGGAATGCAGAAAACTCTTAAAAAGTGAAAAGGTCATAATTCCGTCAAAATTCAATGAAGCGGAACGAAATGCAAACTTGGTCAGTAACTCATCAAGATACACTCACATACCTAAAATCAGCTCAATATCTGAAAGCGTTTAGGAAAAAAGAGCAGAAAACCAAGTGGGACAGACAGATGGACAGACGCAGAGGAAACCTATGGTCCCCTCCGGTTTTATTGGTAGGGGACTAATAAAAGTCATGTGACATTTACATGGACGATAATGATGCAGCGATACAACCGTTCCTTATCTTGCACTTATATTCTTGCACTATTTGCTTTCTTTTAGTTTACAATGCAGATGACTTCATTAAAACTTTGCTATACACATATTTTTGGGTCACTTGAGTCACTCAGGTGACCAATTGCTATCCGTTTTCTTCCCTCGTCATACGATGTGCGTTAACATTTGAAAATTTTCAGGTTTTTCTCTGCAACCGCTGAACCAATTTCAACCAATTTTGGCATAGAACATCTATGAGTGAAGGGGAACAAAAATTGCGAATTTAATGGTTCCTGCCCCCAAAATTGTGAAATTCATGGCCCCAGGGTCAGGGGTTCTGGATTTAGTGTGGGGCTCTAATGATTATATAGTGAAAATGCAAAAATTCTTTAAAAATCTTCTATCCCTTAGTATATAAAACTGATAATATAAGGCATGGTTATGATGGTCAAGGGATCCTCTTGTGATATTTGTGGCCCCAGGGTGAGGGGTTCTGTGGGAGAGAGGGGGACTCTATTGATTATATAGTGAAAGTGCCTTTTTTTTTTGAAAATCTTCTTCTCTGCTCCTAGGTATTTAGCAGATAAACCAAGTGTATAGTTATGATGAGCAAGGGCACCTCTTCCAAAATTGTAAAATATCTTGGCCCCTGGGTAAGGGGTTCTGGTATTAGGGAGGGGCTCTATTGATCATATCGTGAAAATTAATTAATTTTTTGAAAATATTCTTCTATCCCCCTGTATATAAAGCAGATAAATTAGATGCATGGTCATGAAAGTGCATTATTTCTTTGAAAATCTTCTACTCTGCCCATTATTATTAAGGAAAGATACTAAATGTATGGTTATGATGAGCAAGGGTGCCACTTTCAAAATTGTAAATCTCTTGTCCCCTGGGTCAGGGGCTTTGGTATTAGGGTGGGGCCGTATTGAATCTATAGTGAAAATGGATTATTTCTTGGAAAATCTTCTTCTCTGCTCCTGGGCATCTAGAAGGCAAACAGAGTATGTAAAGTTGTAATAAGCAAGGATGTTTTTACCAGATTTTGAAATGTTGTACCCTTTGGTCAATTCATTAATTTCTACTGAAAGAAATTATTCTCCTTTGCTATCTAGAGTCATGGAGAAAGGAGTTGATCCTTACATTGCGGGTTCGAATCCCACTGTGGGACGTGGAGATCAGTCCTTCGGATGAGACCGTATAAACCGAGGTCCCGTGTCGCAGTAGGTGCTGACACGAAAAAGATCCCTCAATGCTCAATGGCCTTGAGTGCCGAGTATAGCTCAAAATTTGTAGCTCTCCACTGGCAAGTGGTGGCGTCTCCATATGAGTGAAAAATTCTCAAGAGGGACGTTAAACAATAAACAAACAAACAAAAAACCTATGATATTTAATCACTGTAAATAATGTAACTGAAAAGGTCAATTGAATAATAGAATTATACAAGAATTTTAATAATATTTAATACAAAAAGTACTTTCATAGTTTTTAATGGACAGATAGACTTTTAAATAATAGATAAATGAAAATGGGACAAAACTACTGTATCTTTGTACATTAAATAATCTTCAAAGACTAAGAGAGGCCAATGTGAGGGGGAATGAAATGTGTTAAGTAACAGTGCTCTAGAACTATTGTATAGTCTACATATGGATTGTGACAAATGGGGGAAATACAGGCAAATAAATAGTTCAACTTTAAGATTTGTTACTGAGTACCAAATTAATATTTCGCTGATCCTTGATCATCCTGTTTCTCTTGCTTTTGAGCAACATAGAGCTTCAGTTATTAGCTTATTTTGTTTCAATCTATGGATCATTACATTATACTCAGGTGATCATAAAGGCCCTTGGGCCTCTTGTTTATAATTCTTTTGATTTTTGATGATACAAGTATCATAAAAGAAACACGTCATGATTTTGACTTATTATGTAGTTTTAAGCATGTAGAGGGTGTTTATCTTACCCACAATTTGTTACATTGAGGGAACAAATATATTGATTAATGAAATAATGTTTTTATCATCAGGTAGCAGTGAAAGTACACATCTGAACAAGAAAATATGTATGGATCACCACAATGGCAAATTAATTTCTGGAAGATGAAATCTTGAATTCCATCAAGGAATGTCTTGAACAATGTTTATTTATGCTAATGATACAGACAAATTACCTTTTCAACCAAAACCTGGGGTGATAGATAGTGTGCTGCTGGCATTTGGAATCCCCATTTTCTTGGCCAATATTCTTGGAACTATTGTTGTCTGGCGGAGTATCAAGTTACCATTCCAGATCAGATTACTAACTTTGAATATGTCATACGCAGATGGAGGAATTGGATTTTTCATGCTTTTTCCACGTAGTTGGTTGTATAAGCAATGCAATATTCGTAAATACTTGTTGGAAATTTTGGGAACTTCATCTTTTCTGACCATTACTGCTTTCAATGTGGACAGGTGTTTGATGATCTTCTATGCCATTCATTATACTGTATTTATTTCGAAACCCAAAATTTTCACACTGTGCATCACTATATGGATTTTCAGTTTGTTCATCGTGTACCTACTATATTCAAATGAAAAACTGGAAACCGCAGGATTCTCCTGTGAGGAAGCCTTTGAAGAAGATCTCCGAACAACAAACATTATTGGCCATTCAATCCGTGTGACCATTATAGTTATAAATGTGATTATCTTGATCGTGTTGTGCGTGCACCTGAAAAAGAAAATGCAAAAATTGTCCCACACAGGAATGTCGCAGTTCAAAGTTAAACACTGGGACTACCAGGCTATAACTCTGAAGAAAATACTGGTCATAACAATATTTTTTACCGTGCTCTACACACCTTACATGATCTGCCAGCTATTTTTGTCTACTCACATTACACGTGGTGTATTCATTATCAAAGCGATATCCGCCTTGGCCTCCATGCTGAACAGTTTTGTGAATCCTTTTCTATATATTTTTCGTTTCAAGGAGTGCCGTTTCCAGCTAAAATTACTTTTTTGTCGCTGGAATAAAACAGTTATCGAAGTTACGGAGAGGGAACGAAAGCAAAGCTTTGCAAGTTACACCATTGAAGATAGCCTCAAAATGAAACTACAGGCTCTTCACCAGAAAGCATTAGAAAGTACTAAAGCAGTAACTTCGAAGTCAGCATTAGAAAGTACTGAGTCAGTAACTGCAAAGTCAGCATTAAAAATTACTGAATCAGTAGCTGCAAAGTCAGCATTAGAAATTACTGAATCAGTAACTACAAAGTCAGCATTAGAAATTACTGAATCAGTAACTGCAAAGTCAGAGCAAGATGGTACAGCATTATGATCATAGACTTGTACATTGAAGACTATTAATTTATATGTATGCAAGTTATGTGTGTTTATTTTTTTTTTTTTTTTGGTTGTTTTTACTAAAGTTCATGAAAATTTGTTCAGCTATTATTACAAGCCTTATCAAATGTTCTTCCAGTTAATCATATCCTCCCAAGGACTTGGAAATTTTTAAAGTCACAAAAATGAACTTTTTATTCATTTCTTCTAGCCATATTGTTGTCAAGGGTTTGATGCCTTTTAAAGGATGTACTTTAGGGTATAATTTAAATTATTATGTAAATCATGAATGTTTTCAATAAAATATTTCCTTTGAAGTTCAAATGAATGGTTAGGTAAAGTCTGGTGCACCTGAATAAATGTGGATAATTCCTGGTACATGTATCTTTGTGGTCTTTTCATTTTATTAGCTCACCTGAGCCTTAAGCTTAAGAAGTGAGCTATTCTGATTGAAGTTTGTCCATCTGTCTGTCTGATAAAATTTCACTTTTTGGACTTCTCCAGAATCACTAAGCCAATTTCAACCAAATTTTGAACATAGTGTGGGAGAGGAAATTTAAGTTTTCCAAGCTACACTGAGGAGATGATTAAGAAAAAGCAAAAACGTAAGCAATCATAGATTACATAGCTCATCTCAACAAATGTTATTTTTAAGTTAGGCAAAGTCCCACACTAAACAAATAATCTGGTAACTTATTCATCCTCAGGTGAAACATGCAAGTTTGGTTGAGGTATGATTTTTAGCTCACCTGAGCAGAAGGCTCAAGTGAGCTTTTCTGATCACATTTTGTTTGGCATCCATCTGTCTGTAAACTTTTCACATTTTTGATTTCTTCTCAGAACCACTGGGCCAATTTCAACCAAATTTCCAACAAAGTATCCTTGGGTAAAGGGGATTCAAGTTTTGTTGTTTTTTTTTTCAAATGAAGGGCCACACCTTCTTCCAAGGGAAGATAATTATGAATGTGTGAAAAATTTATGGCATCTTTTAAAAATTTTCTCCTCAAGAACCACTGTGCTAGAAAATATGAAACTTATGTGGAATCATCCTCAGGTAGTGTAGAATTAAGTTTGTTCAAATCATGACCCCCAGGGGTAGGGTGGGGCCACAATGGGTGATCAAAGTTTTACATAAAATACAAGGACAAATCTTTAAAAATCTTCTTCTCAAGAACAATAAAGCCTAGATAGGTTATATTTATATGGAAGCATCCTCAGGAAGTGTAGTTTTAAGTTTGTTCAAATCATAACCCCATAACAGTGGGCAATCAAAGTTTCACATAGGACAAATCTTGTAATGTAGATTCAAATTTGTTCAAATCATGACCCCCACCCCAGGAGTATAGAGGGGCCATAACAGGGGATCATAGTTATACAAAGGAATATAAAGGATATATCAATAAAAACTTTCTTCTCAAGAACAACAAAGCCATTATTAGTCATATTAATTCAGAAGTATCCTCAGGTAGTGTAGATTCGAAGTTTTTAATACTGAACTGATTTCTGCTTTTTCATAACCAAAGTGCTCAGGTGAGTGATGTGGCCCATTGGTCTCTTGTTAGTCTTGCTCCAAAACTTTTTCATTTCAGTAACTCAGAAAATTCAAGTAAGTCTGGTAGTGTGCATACTTATATGCATCATCCATGGGAGTGTTTCTGTGTAGGGCTTATATATAGTTACCTACTTGACCTCATGGAAAACCTTTAATCTGGTCACTCATCCAGAAAATGTAGGTCAGATCCAGAATCTGAAGAAAAAAGCCTGGTATTGTGTATGCATCCCTAATTGTATAATCTGTGAAAGTTTAGTTTTGCCTAAAGTTAGGGCTTAAAGTTGCACTGGAATGAACCAGTTCTAAAAACTTTAACCATGTTTCTCTGGAACATGATAGTCAAATCCAGCATCTGAAGCAAGTCTCGTAGTGTGCATCCCTAGGTACATCAACCGTGCAAATTTGGTCCAGTAGAGCTTAAAATACTCTGGACTGAATCTACTAAAAACTTAAACCTGATCACCCATCCAGAAAATGTAGGTCAGATGCAGCATCCAAAGCAAGTCTGGTGATGTGCATCCCTAGATGATTTATCCATGCAATTTTAGTCACCAAAAGGCATATAGTTACTTGCAAATGGACCTGCTACAAAAACTGTAACCTGGTCACAGACGATCAGAAAATGCAGGTCATAACCTGCATTTGAATCAAGTCTGGTAGTGTGCATCCCTAGACATACATGTATCTCACAACAGGGCTTATAGTTACTCTGTAATGAACATAACCAAAAAAATTTAACATGGTCACTCATCCAGAAACTGTAGGTCAAATCCAGCATTTGAAGCAAGTCTGGTAGTGTGCTCACTAGTTAGATGTATCATCCATGCAAGTTTTGTCAACATAGGGCTTACAGTTATTTGGGAATGAGACCCACTCCAAAAACTTAAACCTGCTCCAAAATAAAACTGAAAACATTACTACAATTGAAAAAGAAAGAGACTAGGGTCCATTTAGTCGAAAAAGATATTGTCTAGTGGTGAAAACTGAAATGTACGAGTAGTATAACTTTTCTGTTTATCATGTTTCCACATGGCAGTAGATATTGGGCTGTGATCAAGATCATAGCAGCTAGTCTAGCTTCTAAGCTAATTTGCAAAGATATCTAGGTCTTTTGAATGCATTGTATGGTTTTGTAATGGTTTTGGCTGGGATATTGGCCCGAGTAGCTCTGTGGTTAGAGCACCTGACTAGTGATTCAGGGGTCCCTGGTTCGAATCCTGGTCCGGTCCCTTGCATTTTTTTTTTTCTTTTACATAATTTCATGCTGGGGAGGAATGTAATGGTTTAGGCCATGGATATCAGCCCTGATAGCTCAGTGGTACAGTTTCTTGAATAGTGATACAGGGGTCCTGAGTTTGATTCCCAGTCCAGCCATACATTTTCTCCCTGTTAAATAATTTGACCATCCCTGGACTTGCTGGTCCTACCAGGGGCAAAAAGAACTTTGGTTGTGTCTTTGAGGGCAAAGACAATTGAAGCAGGGAGGAATGTAATTGTTTGGGCTGTGGTATCCCCCTGGGTAGCTAAGTGGATAAAACACCTGACTAGTGATTCAGGAGTCTCTGGTCTGGTGGTTTGGTCTGGTCTTGTGCGTATAAACTTTTCGGAATATGGGCCATATCTCAAAAACCCCTTGATCAATTTTTGTCAAATTTGGCCCAAGGAATTTCATTTAAACTAAAAATAGGGATGTGACCCTTAAACAATGAGAGATAATTTGGGTAATAACAAATGTAGTGGTTACTAAAAAATCTTCTTCACTGTGCAGAGTATATTAATCCAAAAGTAGGTCACAGTGACCTAATTTTGAAATTTTATGGCTATATTTAAATATTTCAGATACTAATTGGCTTAGAGTAGTTTATGCATCTTGAGTCTTCAGAGTGTCAACCAAAAGGTAGGTCACCGTGACCTACTTTTTGAATTTCATGGGTATACAGTGTAGTCTCACCAAAGGTTACTCAGAATGTCTTTTGTAATATAATTTGCTGAACACTGAAAAAATAAAAGGTTCTGTAAACATTTACAGGGGTGTTCATGACAAAGTGTAGAATCAAGTTTGTTCAAATCATGACCCCAAGGGGTAGGGTGGGACCACATTTTTTTTTAAAATGTACATTATCTTTTTTTCCTAAAAGCGACCTTGAACTTGCCAAAATGACCTTGGTAAAAAAAAAAATAGGAACAACCCTAAGTCATAAGTAATCTTCATGTGCAAGATGAACTTACAGTGTTTTTCCATTGGTAATTTGTGGACCTGACATGAATTCAAGTGACCCTGAACTTGTCAGAATTACCTTTGGTCAAGGTTATAATATACTCTAAGTTCAAGAGTAATATTTGTTTGAAGTATCAACTTCCAATATTTATCATTTTGAGAGTTATGAACTAGATAAATACTTTATACTGCAAACAAATTTAGTGACACTATTCACTAAAATCAGAAACAAGTATAGCAAGGGGTGGACTTAAATTGTTATATTCAAGATAAATCATGGTTACTTCTATGAAAAAGAAATGATTCATTACACAAATACATACAAAAGGTTGTTTTGCATACCAATATCATGCCTATTATGATGAAAACTCGTAAATTCAATTGTTTTTAAAAATGTTGACCAATCTGAAATGTCTAATCCAGCAAATTTCTACGGCACCAGTGGTGTACAGATTAGACAAGTTTTATTGTATTTCTATATTCTTGCTAGGTAAGCACTTCTGGGGGCTTCATTTGGTTCCAAAAACCTTAAAAGATTTGTAGCTTTATTCTTCTCATCCTTACAATGCAATCATGATGGTAAGGAAAAACAAAATTGTCTTCTTAGAAGACTTCGTTTTTGCCTTCCAAAATCTCTATAATACAGGTGTTTCACCCCCCAGGGCTTTGCCCTGGACCCACTGGAGGCCTCAAGACAGCCTTCAGACCACTGCTTAATCGACTAACACTGTCCTCTGCATATAATTATGTGTCTTAGGGTATTAATAAAGTTTTATTGAAATCTGACCAAAACCGAGAGAGAAGTTACATTTTTGAAAATTGTTTATGGATGGATCTTCTAGTCAGTATGACCCATATTGAGCTAAATAAAGATGAAAAAATAATCAGTTATAGTCTCTCAATTTTGATGAACAAGACATGTCTCTTTTTAAAAAATTCTTTAATTGCAATACATATAATTAAAAAATAAAACAATGCTAATAAATAATACATGGTCATATCACAAAATTAGTAACAAAAATAGTTTAGAAGGCTGCAATTCAGGTTGTATTTTGTCATTAAAGAAACATCAGAAAGAAAGGCAATAATGTGCAATAAATGAATATTCTCAGACAAACTATTTTCCTCATTTATAGAAGGCTTCATGGACGGAGGTAAATCACGATTTTAAAGCACTTGTAAACACACAGGCAAAGGCAAAAAGGTCACAGTAACTTTGTCCAATGCTTTTTTCCTTCATTCTCTTGGTCTTCAATCATATTGAAAAATTTCTTTGATGGAATGTCTTTTTCAAAATGTCTGCAATAAAAATTGTAAAAGATGACTATAACAGATACACATGTATTACTTTGAAATTTAGAAGCATAGGTAGATAAGTGATAAAGAAATTTTGATGACTAAAAGCAATCATCTGTTGTAATTCTTACCTTAATATTGAATAACTGTCCTTAAAATATCTTCTGCATTCATCCTGTGAAATAGTAAAGGAAAATATGTCAACAGTGGATTGATTTTTGTGGACTAACTAATACAAGAACATGCCCATCAGCACAAACTTGAACTGATCATTTTACTTATAGCTATAGTTCATATAGCATTTTCAGTTATTCTGTCTTACAACTTGATGGTACTAGAGCTAACCATGAATTTACAGTACCAGTACTATATATAGTAATAGTGTTTTTAAGTATACTTATGTACTTACCTTGTTCTGCTGGTGTTTCTTCTTTCTTTTCCTCCTCTGTCTTTTCTTCTTCTTTCTTCTCTCCTTCCTCAGCTGCCAAATAAACAAGAGTAGCTCAGAAAAAGCACTTATTGAAGTTGTTCGTAAGTTGTTGAAATGTAGTTCTGTCTATTAGCCTGAAAGTTTTCCCTATCAAGCCATTTTGGTTACACCTACAGATGTATACATTATACTTATATCTATATCAGATGGGTGCATATAGTTTCTAATTACAGCCTACAGCCAATTTACAATCCAGGAATTTTATATTACACTTTTTAGTTTGATAGGACATCTAATTATGGTTAAAATGTCATAAGAAAATGATGCTGTAAATGTAAGTATGACAGAAAAGCTACATTAGTTTTAACATGCACAATCTTGCAAGTGAAACTGGCCAGACTAGCTGTTTTACAAGCCACTTCCTACAAACCAGGCACAACACATGGTACAGGCAAATTTGAAAAAAAAAAACACTTTTTGCTACCATCTCATTCTTAAATGAATATAGAGTGAATATATTATAAATTTTATGTTGTTGCCATCATGTAAACAGAGATGAAGAACCAGTAAGTGTTTCAAAAGGTTTTGTGTGTTGTAATCTGACTACCCTGTCCAGAACATATCATTTGACCACTCTGCTCAAAATATCAACATGTATCATTGCCTCATGGACTTTAATTTTTTGTTCAGTACTATATTTGGATTGTTGCCATGTGGACTTCAAGTTTTTGTTCAGTACAGTAAAACTCGTTTAGTACGAACATGGATATTGCGAATTCACGGATATAACGAAGTTTTCTTGGATCCCCAGCTATATAAACTTAATGAATTCCTTATACGGATATAACGAATTATGGATATAGCGAAGTAATTTCACAGGTCCCCAGGACTTTGCTATAACCGAGTTTTACTGTACTATATTTGTATTGTTGCTACATGGACTTAAAGTTTTTGTTCAGTTCTGTATTTGACAACAAAATACTCAGCATCTCCTAAGTTCCTGGTGAATTTTGACCAGTTAATTCAGTACCTGGCTTCTGTTCCTCTGTTTTTTCTGTTTGTTCCGGTTTTTGTTCACTCTCTTCAGGTTTAGCCTCCTCACCTTTTACAGACAATAAAGCGTGGTGCAAACAATTAATGCCAATACAAACACATAGCTTCAGAAATTCACCCCCTAGCAAAGCTACAATTGTTGGTAATGCAGTTCTCATGCAGTGGGCATTTTCAAAAATCTACTGCTATTAGTGCATCACTCTAAATCATACTAATCAATTCATCACTAGTTAACACAAAAATCACTAGAACAAATTCTACTTGTCTAATAACACTTCAAGCAATCAAACTGATGAAAAAATTCTAGATCAGTATTTTTCAGACAGTCTTGCAAGCTTCTTCATTATTCAAAATATTTCAAATTATTTCAAAGTTTTTAAGACTTAAACAGGATGTAGAATTATACCTTTCTGTTCTTCATCTGGTTTAGGTGATTCTGTAAGACAAAATATAAATCTATTAAAGTACCATAGCTTTTACAATGCATGCTTATGGTAAACAAGCTTACATTGATTAACTGCATAGCATGTACTTTGCTATATCTATGTTGAACTGTATTTATAGTAATTATAAAGATTCAGTCATTGTTTTGAATCTCTCCCTTTCACTCTAGATTATGCAACTCAGTACCTGATTTTTGTTCCTCTTTAGGTGCCTCATCTGCTGGTTTTGATTCTATAAAACAGTATTGAACTAAACTAGCTTGGAAAACTTTCAATCATTCACACAATAACTGCTGTATTTTTTCCTTTTCAAGGAATCTCTTTTAAAAAAAAATTAATTTATCCAAAGAGTTCACTTAGTCAGATTACTAGCACAAACTATACTACAATTCCACACACCAAAACATGAACAACAAGAGGCCCAAGGGCCACATCGCTCACCTGAGCACTGTGGCTAGGAAAAAAGGAAAAATCAGTTTAGTATTGAAAAGCTTAAATGCATAAGTGGTCCCAACCTACCCCTAAAAAGGGAGTGGGGGGGGGGGGGTCATGATTTGAACAAACTTGAATCTACACTATATGAGGATGCTTCCGTATAAATATGACAAACCGTGGCTCTGCTGTTCTTGAGATTTTTAAAGATTTTTCCTATATATTCCTATGTAAAACTTTGATCGTTCATTGTGGCCCCGCCCTACCCCCGGGGGTCATGATTTGAACAAACTTGAATCTACTACACCTGAGGATGCTTCCATATAAATATGACCAATCATAGCTTTGCTGTTCTTGAGAAGAAGATTTTTGAAGATTTTTCCTATATATTCCTATGTAAAACTTTGATCATCCATTGTGGACCCACCCTATCCCTGGGGGTCAAGATTTGTACAAACTTGAATCTACACTATATGAGGATGCTTCCAAATAAATATGACCAATCATAGCTTTGCTGTTCTTGAGAAGAAGATTTTTGAAGATTTTTCCTATGTATACCTAAGTTAAACATTGATCGTCCATTGTGGCCCCACCCTACCCCCAGGGGTCATGATTTGAACAAACTTGAATCTACACCACCTGAGGATGCTTCCATATAAATATGACCAATCATAGCTTTGCTGTTCTTGAGAAGAAGATTTTTGAAGATTTTTCCTATATATTCCAGACCTATGTAAAACTTTGGTCGTCCAATGTGGCCCCACCCTACCCCCGGGGGTCATGATTTGTACAAACTTGAATCTACACCACCTGTGGATGCTTCCAAATAAACATGACCAATCATAGCTTTGCTGTTCTTGAGAAGAAGATTTTTGAAGATTTTTCCTATATATTCCTATGTAAAACTTTGATCGTCCATTGTGGCCCCACCCTATCCCCGGGGGTCATGATTTGAACAAACTTGAATCTACACTACCTGACAATAATTCCACATGAGTTTCATCTTTCCTGGCCCACTGGTTCTTGAGAAGAAGATTTTTCAATAATGCCATTAATTTTTTGCTATTTCGTAATTATCTCCCCTTGGAGGAGGGCGTGGCCCTTCATTTGAACAAACTTGAAACCCCTTCACCCAAGGATACTTTGTGCCAAGTTTGATTGAAATTGGCCCAGTAGTTCTGGAGAAGAAGATGAAAATGTGAAAAGTTTACGACAACAACGACGCTGCCGACGCCGCCGACGCCGACAGACAACGGACAAATTTTGATCAGAAAAGCTCACTTGAGCCTTCGGCTCAGGTGAGCTAAAAACAATTATTTGCAAAAACAGTCCTATGTTTCAGACTCAAATCTCAAGACACCAATAATAACTGTTTTGAAACGTACCCTCTGGTTTTGACTCTTCAGCTGGTTTTGACTCTTCTTCTGGTTTAGATTCTTCAGCCGGTTTTTCTTCCTCTGCCGGTTTGGACTCTTCCGCTGGCTTTTCTTCTTCTGCTGGTTTTGACTCTTCCGCAGGTTTCTCTTCCTCTGTTGGTTTTGACTCTTCTTCTGGTTTTACTGCATCTTCTTTTGGAGGCTCCTCCTCCTTTTTCTCTTCTGCAAAGATGTCAATTCAAATAAGTTGATTAGCTTCATATTCCACAAGGTGGTTTATAATCATTAGAGCTCTGATGAAAGAACTTCATTTGATTGCCTCCCTTTAATTGAAACAATTGAACAGAAAATGAAACAGCAAATTAAAGTCTCTGACAATTCTGTTCATGTGAGAATGTATTTTGAAGCACTGAATATTTAAAAATTATTTTCAAGTAAAAGAATACTAGTTATCCAACAAGACTTTAAACACGGCCTCTGGTACATGCATATACAAGCATACATTGTTAAAAATAAGTAAGGGAGAAAATAAAGCAAATTAAATACTACTTAAATGTCAAAAACAACAAAACCACAAAATTTACTCCAGAAGGATATGTTGATCCATAGACTTATGCAAAAGATATCTTAATTGTGACAGTATGAAATAATTTAATTAATTTCCCATACTGAAGCAGTTTGTGCTTAAAACCCTCCACTTCCAGTCTTTCAGGCTGGTGGTACATATTATATAATCTATAAGTTGATCAATTTTTTTTTTAATCAGCCCAACTCCTTTTATACATAGTCAAGAAGCTAAAAATAAAGCAATTGGTACCAATTTTTGCCATTCATTTTATTTAGCAGAATGTGTTAGTTATCAATTGCAAAAAAGTACTAAAAGCTACATTTGTATTTTGGCTTTGTTCTTATTCTTTCCTTACTATTTCCTCCCATTATTTTTTTTTTTGGGGGGGGGGGGGGAGGGCATTTAGCTGTTTAAAGCCTACCAACAGAAAACAAAATGAAATATTTCAAATTTAAAAAAAAAAAACAGACAGAATTATAGTGTGACTTCATTCACAATGAAAAGATTTATAAACATATTGCAATGGGAGTACCTGTAGCAACAACTTCAGATGGTTCTTCTTTTACAAAATTAGTTTAAGCATCACTGTAGATTTGTTTTTACATAAATTAATGTATCCTAAAAAGTTAATAGGTGAAAAAAAAAAGCTGAATTTAGATTGACTTAATTTTACTTTTTCTTCGTTTAAATAATTTCAAAATTCATATGTGAGCACTTCATCAGAAAGGGGAATAACAAGTTTTTTTTTTTTTTTTTTTTTAATTACTTGCCCTCTGCACAAATGTAACTTTTGACCTGAAGGATTAAATTGGAATAGGACAATTTCTCTTCATGAGAAAAATTTCTACAATTAAGTTTATTGAGAATGTAGATACAGTGTATTGTTTACACAGTAGAACTTTGATATCTCAAACACTGATATCTCAAATACCATGGATATTTCAAAGTGATAGGAAGTCCCAACCACTTTTTCTTTTTGTATTTTAACCTCTATATCTATAAATATTGTATATATAATTGAACTTTGCTATCTCAAACACTGACATGTATCTCAGATACCATTCAAATTGAGTAGGAAGTCCCAACCACTTTTTCTGTTTGTATTTTAACATCAACATCTCTCAATTTTTGGATATTTCAGTGTTTTTAGTCCATCAACTTTGAGATGCCGAAGTTTGACTGTATTATATCCCAAAATAATTATTCCATCCTGCACCAATTACTCAAAGAATTTTCTTTTTCATTAATATCTCAAGACACCTGCCAATGCTAATAAGAACTGACATATTAATAGCAAAAGAATTCTGGTATACACACAGTGAGTATAGATCTACATCTATAGTGATGAAGTTAAAATTAGTAATGACCTTCTCGATACTCGGGGGCTGTCTGTTCTACATCAGGCTTTGAGGTTGTAACAGGTTCTGTGAATCACAAAGTGAAGTTTTTAGTTGAAAATGCTTTCAAAAAAAAAAAAGTCTTGGAATGACTGAAATTTTGGCTATTTAGAACAGATACATTTTCTCTATTTATAGTTTTAAATGAATTTACTGAAACCAAATTCCCAACTAGATTTTAAAAATTAATGCTGATTGATTTTGATACATTATTGCATTCATTAACTATCAAATGATTCCACATTTCAATTTTATTTAAACATCACTATTTTAAGAAGGCATATGAATATGCTTTCAGTCAACACTTTAATGTTAAAAATCATATGATACATTTTTTGAAATTTAATTTTCTATTCCCTTTTTCTATTTCATTGTATAAAAAAATATGCATGCACTTTGAAATTGGGTAAAAAATTCAAATGTAGAACATTGATATCTCGAACACTGATATCTCGAATACCATGGATATGTGGAAGTGATTTGGAAGTCCCAACAACTTATTCTTTATTAAGTATTTTACTCCTGATATCTTGAATCCTTGGACATCTTGAAGTTTTTTTCTTGGTCCCATCAAGTTCAAGATAACAATTAAGGTTTAATTGACTGTACTTTTGAAGTAATTATTCATTATTTACCCTTATTTTTTAATTCAGGCCATGATATTTCCTTTGTAATGTTGAACAAAATGTGTATGTTAAATTAATTGATGTAAACCATATTATATATATGTTATTTAAGTGTATAGATGCATTAAATTACATGCACTGCATTAAATAATTGTCTTTCTTTTGGAAAGCAGAACATCTTTGAAAGTATTTTTTCAATATGAAATTTAACACAGAGATAATAACATTCTACACTATAAATATCACTGCATTAGGGAATCTAAATCATTTATTTACTAGAAAGCCATGCATTGTTAGTATGTACAGATATCTATCAGAATAAAGAAAGAAACCTTTCAGTAATACAGAAACAAAAGGCCCAAGGGCCACAATGCTCACCTGAGCTACTCCTGCAGTTTTTCAAAACATTTTTAAGGTTAATTCTTTTAAATTTTCATAAAATACTTTTGACCCTATATTGTTGCCACATCCTATCCCAAGAGCCATGATTTTAATAAATTTGAGTCTGCACTAGCTGCCTTGGATATTTGCATTGTTGATGATTTGTAAGATTTATATTGTGGTCCTGCTGTTCTTGAGAAGATTTGTAAAAAAAAAAATCTGCTTACCCGGTATATTTCCCATGTAAAACTTTGATCCCCTATTGTTTCTCCATCCTACTGCCTGGGACCAGGATTCAAACAAACTTGAATTTGCACTTATACTCATATTTGGATGTACATGTGCATATTAATATGACTAATCATGGCTATTTCCAAGGTATTTTTGAGAACAGGTTTTTTAAAAAGATATTTTCCTTAATATTTTCATATTAAACCTTGGTTCCATGTTATGGCCCTATTCTTCCTCATGGGGCCATGATTCAAATAAATTTAAATCTACACTCATTACATAAAGTAAGTGTTAATGTCTTTTCTAACCAGTGGCTCTTGAGAAGATTATTTATTGACCCCACCCTTTTTCTGCCATTTCTTAGGTATCTCCTTGAGAAAGTGTTTGGTTCTTTATTTGAAAACAAAATGAATACCCAGTGCTCAAGGATACTATGTGCCAAGTTTGGTTGAAATTTCCTGGAGAAAATTAAAAAAAGTTAACAGATGCCAGACAGAAAGACGACAGACAAATATTGATCAGGAAAGTTCACGAGTCTTTGACCAAGGTGAGCTAAAAACTAAATATACATATGTACGTTCCAACATGCAGAAGAACTAGAATATATATATAGACTATATATATAGAAGACCTTCTTGTGATTTTTCTGTGGGTTCTTCTGATGGTATTTGTTCTGTCTCACGTTCACCCTCCTCAATGCCCTCCTCGCCCTCTGATTTGACAAGTGTAGACATTTATATAACTAATACTTTCTACTGGTATAATTATTAGCATGACTTTATACATATATATAGGATGTAATCAGCATTAATTGATGCTATATTTTTAAGAAAATTGCAGAATATGTCATTAATTCCTATAAAAAAAAATGCAGAATATTAATAGGAATTTTAAAAAAATTGTGGTCATAATTATAGAAATTATATCATATTTTTGTACAATTTTGCAACCAAAAAGTTTAGCAGGTGTTTCAAAGCCAAGTGCAAGGCCTGATCAACAGTTTCTTCATAAAATCTAGCAAACCAAAATTTCAATAAATCCCACACTTTCATAAATCTGATATACACACACATTTTCATCCCATATGACATTTCATACAAAAATCTCCCTATCTAAGTGTGAAAATTTAATGCCCAAACCTGAAAGAGGATGCAGTAGCTACACATATTTTCACTGCTATATATTTGTTTAGTGTGAAAGCTTGTGTGCAACCAAATTACTAGTACTAAGTGTACTTAAATGTCTCCCTAGAAATTATTTTCTACTGGATAAAATTGTCATCTTTCTATCATTCATATATCATGTAGTGGTATATATTATGAAATTTATGAAATACCCATAAAATTACATCCCAATGAACCAGTATTGATTACTCAAGAATATTGACTTCCCTTTATTGAAATGATTCCATAGTAATCTATGATGGCATTCAAAGTGTGTTATACAAGTAAAGTTTTTTTTCCATCCCAGTAAAAATATCATCCCCCCCCCCAAAAAAAAAAATAAAATCACATATCACTGCAAACACAGAAAATCTTGCAAAGTATAGTAGAATAAAAATAAAATTACCTCTCTTCTCTGTTTCCATAGCTTCATCCGCTACAAAAATAATAATAAATATTAGTTAGGATGAATTCATTCGCCTTTTCAAAATATTTATATTTGTGAGTGCATGTGTGCATGTGTCTACTTCATTTCTTTTCATATTTTCTTATTGAAACAATTACTGAATAAAAAAATTACTTTAAAAAAGCTGTATCTCACTCCATTTTTCATTTATTATAATAGTATTTCTAATATCATTTACAGTGAACTTCCGTGAATTACTGTTGTCAATTTGGTGGCACTCGTGCACATATAAATCTACAACTGTCATTGATGGATTTCAGTTGTATAATTATTGTTAAAAAAAATTTTCAATACACATATATTTAGAATTAATACATTATACAGATATCTTATGACTGAACCAAATATCTGGAGGTCTAAAAAATTGCTAGAGCAGTAAGCTACTCTCACAATTAACTTTCATGGAGGTAATTGCTATGCTATATGTTTTTGCTATTAGTGTTTTTGTTTGTTTTTTTTAGTGTAAATTGTTAAATTGGTTTGTACTTAAATAATGAAAATCTAAAATTTTCAGTTGCATTTTTTTTTTATATTATGTAAAATATTTTTTTCATAAGAAGTTTGTGTGGTTTTGTATTTTTGGAATCAAATCACATATGCCTGAGTAAAGGTTTGCTCAAAATCATCTTCAGAATTCAGTAAAACAATATTTTTTTATGAATTGAATATTGATTCTTCAACTTACCACCAATGACAGCCCTAATTAAATCATGTAGAGAAATTGCAAAAATAATACATATGTTAGTTAGCAAACAATCAACTATAATTAAGAGTTTGGAGGCCCTTTTTTACTACAAATATATTTATATAGATCAAGAGATAGAATTTAAGATGTGCTCAGAAAGGATTAAAAACAATAATGAATTTTTTTCAGCAGTTAAAATCCTAACTATAAAATAATGAAATATCAGAGAGAAAAAGATACATAAGTTATGCATGGAATATATCCGGTTAATTTTCAAAGATTTTTTTGTTCTCTAAAAAATAAGCAAACCGAGTAATTTGCATTATAGCTAAGGTTTCACTGAAATTTGATTTCAGGTAGTATTTGCAAGAGTAATTAAAGTCAGATGATGCTGAAGTGTTAAACTATTTGAAGTTTTTTTGATAAACGCATTTTACAATTACTCAGTAGTTTCCCTCATGGTAATAACGTAAACAATCAATCCAATTTTTTTTTTTACCTCAGATATTTACATTGATCATTACTCATTCATTAAAATCAATGACAGATAGGAAGTTTCCTTATGCACTGAGAGAAATATTGGTTAGATTTGAAAGAAAGATTTCAAAAATATATGTATATACTATAATGCCTAAAGAATCTCCAATTATAGCTATAAACTAAAATAAAGTTGTGCAGGAAGAAATGCAGGAAACAAGTGTGCATGAATATATCTGAAGGAGAAAAATGTAGAATTTTGCTCATGCAACCTATAGCTGATAAATCAGTTCAAATAACAAAAAATTTGGGAAGTTTCATGGGAAGAATTAGGGTAGGGGGTTTGAATCAAGATAAAAACAAATGACTTAACTCAATTAATGATAGTTAGAATTTGAATTCAATTAAAGTGTATGCAGTATTTTTCAGCTATTTTTAGCTATGGTAACAGAAATGTGTAATTTTATTTAATTTTTTGTTTTTGTAAAACAAGATAAGAAACCATTATTAGCCAAAATTTAATAAAAATAAAAAAAAAACAAGAAATACTTAAAAAGGAACAAAATCTACAAGAACATAATTTTAAACTGAATTTAAGATGAACAAAAATCTACGTGCAAATTGAATAGCAATAGCTGGGTGTATATATACACACTTGAAAGCTATAAGTAAACAAATCATCTTGGCATCCACTCCAATCCAGGAATCGTGAATTAATTTCAACAATTCGTGAACTGACACAACTCCACCCTCAGTAGCAGACATGTTGGCAACTTATCAGGGCGTTTTATATCAATTTTCTTACACTAAATAAATGTTTTTGAATCTTGACTTAAAATAGAAATCCTAAAATTTCTTCAGATCAAAGACAAATTTGTAAAATTGGAAGGGGAGATAACAAAAATCTTATCAAGAGAATTAAAGGACCTGGTATTACATACAGTATCTTAATTTTCGTAATTAAAAAAAAAATGAAATATAGTGCAACCAAAGACTTTGCAGAAGATAACACTTGACGTCTTTCAAAACATGAAGTTGAAAAAATAAAAATTGCTCAGCCATAGGCATTCTGATAACTTTGAATCCACATACATGTAATGTCCCTAAATTATCAAAATCGAGAAAACTAGGACACAACAATTAACAAATTTAAAATTTTCATCAATCTTTGGTTTAATCTACTTTTTTTTTGTATCTTACCCTTAAAACCTATGACACACTTCTACAATAAAATCTCAAAATTGTAGTTGCATATAGATAACAAATTCAACCTTAAATATACAGATACATTGTAGATGTTCTGCAGAAGTGGAATGTAATGTATTGCCTGATATAAAAAAAAAGCAAACACTTTAATTAAAGGGACTTATCTATCACATTGGAATAATAATAAGCAAGATTGGAGCTAGAATTTAAGCAAAATAGTGAGATATATCATTATATGAAGCTGTGATTTTCACCGAGTCTATATATGAAAACAAAAGAAAATTGCGCTTTTAAAAAAAATTCAAAGAAGGCTTTAAATTAATATCTATGATGAAAAAACAAACTTCCTACAAGCAATCTCAGAGGGCATAATTTTTCATACTTTGCATTAACAAATAAAAACAGCATAGAAAAGCATAAAAAAAAATCCTATGCCCTTCTCTCTATCAACTTGGCCACCAAAAATTAATGAGAGGGAATATATCCTAGCTTATTTATATGTAAGAACATGCATATATAAAGACATGAATGTAGGACTTTAATGATTGGGATTTTGTGCAGTAAGATTTCTAGCAAGATTCTTGTGATTAAGAAATTATTTTATTGCTTTATTAAAAATTATTATTTTGTTTCTAGTTTTGGAAAAGGGAGGTCATCATGCACATGCCAACTGATCTGAAGGCAGGTAAAAAAGGGATACCTAAGACCGAACCATCAGGTCCAAATTTCAATTCACCAAATATCTTCTTTAGGGACGTCTCGGCATGTTCGACTGTTGAGCTGCCATGCACAGCATTCATGAGAATATTTTTTCCATATGCTGCACGTAATCTGGGGAGAGGAAAAAAGCCAAACTTTAGCTTAACATAATTCACTGTTTCAGATTACCAGAGAAAAAGATGTGATAGTTTATAATTCACCAACAACACTCTAAATAAAAAATTGATAATCATATACATGTATTGAAAAAATTAAACAAAACATCCTTATTAGTATCAAGACAAAACAAAACTCTGCTGTGCAAATACATCTTTTTTCACTTTGTACATGTACAATTTCGTCAGACAAAACATAATCCTCTTAACTTAAAATAAGTACTGTTAAATTTCAGTAAAATATAACAAATACATACGAGTCTGGATTTTCTTCCTTAGCCTTCTCGGGATCTGTGGGACCAATTATTTCCCTCCATCCTTGGACGGCATCTTCTCTTGATAGCACCATAACATATGTAGGTCCACTGAAAGATATAAGAATATTTTCTATTACTACAGCTTTTTTTGAAATCTGAGAAAATTACACATTCAAGACAAATTTGGGCAAAGTGCTGAAAAAAGAGCTGAATTAAAAGGAATTATGCCATAAACAAATGGAACTCTGACATTCCATAATAAAAGAAGAAAATTGATTGAAGACATTGCTCATACACCATAAATTACTGATCTGTACACTGAACTAATGCATTATACAAACAAACCTGGTCATGTGTTCTACTAAATCTTCATAGTAATCTTTTCCTTTGTGATCTGCATAGAACTCCTCTGCAAGCTCTCTAGTCAACTGTTGTTCTTTGGTGGCTGCAATCTTAAATCCAGATTCATGGATTCTGTCGATAATTTCATCTGTAAAGAGAATTAAGTAATCTTAGAATCGTTTTTTGAAAAATTTGTTTTTTGTTGGCTGTGGCCACTTTACTGAACATCACAGTGTCAAGCATAATGTCTGTAACTGAGCGGAGAGGGAGGGGTTGGAGGAAGGGGGAGGGATCCTGTATAAACAAATTCCACATAAGAAGGATATAATATGCCTTTCAAATTTCCCTCTTGATACCTCTAGAAATTAACATTAGCCATATAAGACATTACATTCAGATAAAATCTCTAAATTTAGCAAATGTATATACTGAGTGAAGTCGGGCGATCGCATGAGAGTGCCTAAGTGGGCCACTTTTAGTAAGCAGAACTGGCGCTGTGGGATATGAACCAAACGCCCGGTTAAGGTGCCTAAGGCTGACGCTCATGAGATACCATAAAAGGTGTTGGTTGATATAGACAGCAGGACGGTGGCCAAAATTTCTATTACAGTACCTTTAGTGCCCACTGCATCAGGTTTAATCACTGCTACTGTCTGTTGCATTGGGAAGAAGAATTCCAATTCTTTCTTGGCTGTTTCTTCAGAATCAGAACCATGCAGCATGTTGATTTTGGTGTCGTCTAATGCAAACTTGGCTCGTAAACTGAATACAAATGAATTAAAGAAATATATTTCACAGGTACCTCAGAGATTCATTAATCACTATTTTCCCTCAATTACTATACTTATTGATGAATTCATTTGTTTAATTATCATTTCCCAGGTGCACAATGTGCAACTTAATAATAAACAACATAGCTTTTTCTTTACCTGTCTGGGGCCTCTGCTTTAGCCTTCTCTACCTCAGTGGGCCCCAACATATGTCTCCATCCTGAAATGGCATCCTCTCTGGCCAAACCAAGAGCTAGGACTGGACCACTACATAAAAATAAAGTTAGATGCCTTTTATATGTACCTTCAAATGTTTAATATCAACACAGTTGTTGTTTTTCAAACAAACCTAAAAAACCTGATTTCTAATAAAATATACATAAGAAACAATTCTGAAGTACAGTATATAGGGAAATAGTTCACCCACTGCATTTTTCACTCCTTTTGCTCTTGTTGTCTGTGTTGTTTTAGAAACAGATTTATCTTTTTTCATCACAACTGGTGAATTTAAAAGTGGACAAAATCCTATGCAATATTATAGCAGAAAAATAACTCTGTATCTAGTAGTATTGTCTAAATCATAGACAAGTATGATTGACTGTTGTAGTTTTATGTCCCTTACAAGATTGTTTCATTCATACGAGACGTCACCACATGCCACTGAAGGGCTTCAACTGTAGAAGTTTAGCTGGCTCTCAGAACTATAGAGCAGGGAGAGTTCCTTAGTGTGCCAATACCCGACGTGACACAGACCTTTATTTTTAATGTCTCGATTTTCCCACAACTTTCAATTCAACATTTGCTACCTATTTTTTATTGACTTTGAATCGTTGTAGCTAGGACAAAAACTCATGACCTTCCAACAACAGAGCAAGCATTCTACCAACATAAATGAGTAAAGAGTCTTCAATTTTCTTTACCTTGTCATCCTTAAAACGAGCTCCTCAAAGTAATCCTGGTCTTTATGCTCTCTGTAGAAATCTTCTGCCATCTCCTTCGTAAGTTGCACCTCTTTCTGCATAGCCACCTTAAATCCAGCCTCATTTATATTGGCCAGAATTTCATCTGCAGAAAAGCCAAAATGTTCATTCAATTCAAATTACAAATTGAGGTCCAAACCACCTTAAAAATTATGGCTTAGCTATAGAAGAAAGTTTTGGTTCCCAGAATTTACCACATCAAAATCTGTGTTTTCACCATAACCATTCAATACATGTACTATTATATTACTTCTGTTTGAAAGCAAAGTGCTTGTATATGCCAGTCCCTAATTTTACCCACCTTTGTGGTTTTTGAATGCATCAGGTCTGATGAGTGCCAAAGTTCTCTGTACTTTGGGTTTTCCTTCTGATTCAGGGACAACATAGTCTGGGAAGAAGAATGCTAGCTCCCTAAAACAATGAAAAGACCATTTTCATAAAAAGTTCAGAATAGGAAAATGTACAACATTACATATAAAACCCAATTAGCTCTTAAGAAGAAGAAAATTCATACTTATACTCCATCATTATACAAACCTCATTGCCGTTTCTTCTGAACTGCTGCCATGGAGAGCATTCATGAATGCCTTCTCACCATATTTGGCTCTCAAACTAAGAATGAAACATATAAATACATGATTTCATTCATATTTTACTCAGATAAAGTAGACCAAACCATATCTTGGTCTCGTAAAAAAAATTGTTATATTGTCATATTTTGAAGGCAATTTTTCTGCTTCTCAAACACTTCTCTTCAGAAAACAAAGTCTGCCCTTCATGAAGATATAAACAAGACTAGACTACATGTAATTTTTTTCTAAAATTTTAATTTCCATGCTGGTTCAATTTTTATATCAAATCAGAACATCAATATGTATTAAGTATCTGCATCAAAAAGTTAGTCCTTTTTTTTTAAAAAGTTTACCATTACCACACACATGTAGTAAAATGTTAAAGTTATACAGTTAAGCCTGCTTATCATGAATCCAATGGGACAAAGAAAATATTTCGGAGATATCCAACGATTCAAGATATGGAGGTTAATATACATAGAAAAAATAGTGGTTAGGACTTTAAAACTCACTTCAACATATCCATGATGTTCGAGATATCAAATTTTGAGATAACTAAGTTCAACTGTATCTGACCTTTCAGGCTGAGCCTCCTTAGCTTCCTCCACATCTGTTGGACCAATCAGATCTCTGAATTCACTGATGATATTCTCTCCTGTTCTACCCTTGGTCAGAACCAGAACATGGGAGGTTCCGCTGGTCATGAACTTGACAAAGTCATCGAAAAACGACTCATCTTGTAGATGGCTGTAGAATTGTCTTACTTCATCCTCTGTCAGGTGACGTTCTTCATTCTTTAGGATCTCAATACCATGTGCCTCAATCTGCATCACAAATATTAAACAATCAAAACTTGTTTTGTATTGCTACAATGTTGCTTTACTCATACAATTCTTCAATTCAACCCCCCCCCCCCCCCCAAAAAAAATAGTTGATAGAATAACAAGGGACAATGACAAAGCGTAAAGTCACAGCAATATTAAGTAAGCTAATTTTGCTTAGAAGTTTCTGTATAAAAATGGCTGAAATGAAATCAATGAGAATAAATGTTAATTTGAGTTCAAATCAACTTTCTTTTTTGATAAAAACATTTACAGGCGTTTAGGATAAGCACATTCCTTAAGTAACTAACACAAAAATAAAACAATCTTAAGATATACATAAGTTATAAAGGACTCATAAATGATGGCTATTATTTAATATGTTTGCTGCTCTTGTTACACTTGCAAAAGTTATATGCAATTGAAGGGATTATACCTTCCCTAATATGAGCCATCAAAACACATATTTGAAATTAATACATCAAAAGAGCTTAGCTTTTTATTATAAACTCACATCAGCAACAATCTCTGGCACTTTGCCTGCAGCAACAGCATCAGGTTTGATAAGACACACCGTGATTTCTTTCTTACCCTCTAAAGATTGAAAATAAGAAAAAAATATTGTCATTAAACTGGCTGATAAGCTAGAGGGTCAATTGTGTTTAAAAAATTATACATGTATTACAATTGCAGAGGCTAAAGATTATTCAGAGCTGTAACAAAGAAAGAGAGCAAGATGAAAATAATTAATTTAATTAAATGAAAGAATGCATTTAAAAAACCCTGAAATTTCAATTGATTAGGAAAAAAATTTAAACAATCATTTTTAAAAATTTCGAAAGAAAAACTGTGCTGGGCAGATCATATTCACTGTATATATTTAATAGAAACGGGCAATAAAGAGGATCTATATTTTGTGATGAGGAAATAAAAGATGCCTGTGCAAAATGCATTTTTTTTTAACTGAGGCATGCATATAAAGAATCAGATAAATGTATAAATATGAAAGAATAATTTCATAAATGCTAGTAAAAGCATTAATATTCTTTATATAATTTCAAACTGTCAAAAAGAAAAATTATACATGCATTAATAATTGTCACAATGCCATTTCATGTTAAGTTATAAAAAATTAAAACATTTATCACCCAATTAATGAAATCTACATTTGTACATAAAGAAATTATTTATTATTACATTAACAACCAGTAACATGCATATAGAAGGACAAGTCTCAATTTCTGTAAACATATAGTTGATTTTTATATTTAAAGGGGGGTATAATTCATGCTTAAATAAAAAAAAAAGGAAAATAAAAACTACTCCAAAATGCTAATATACTTGTTGTTTATTCTTAAAAAAAGTTGTAAGCTTCAAAATTGTCTAAACTTTACTGTGGGAAATCACACCCATTAACAAATTACTAAATTAACAATTAATGAATTTTTATGGTGTAACTGAGAAGTAATTGTAGAATTTTATTTCAGGAGTAGTGATTCTCATGAAATTACACGATAATTATTCCCTTGCATACATTTAGAAATCTACACTACATGTATGCCCAAGAGAAAAGTATTAGGTCATATATATATACCCGGTACTTTTATGAATCATCAAAAACTGAAATACATTTCTTAATTAAACCATGATGAAAAGTTTTTGAAGTAACTTAAATGTTTGAAATTAATCATTGTAATTTTTAAAAATGTTTTTCTGGTTATTTCCATCTCAAAATGTACAAGTTATTAATTATTAATTAAATTCCAATCATACTTATGATTATATATACTGTGCATTTATTTCTCTCAAGATCGATATCACATATTTTTCTATCAATAAATTATCTCTCTTTCCAACAGTAAAGTTAAACACTACAAAATTACACGATTCACTTGTGTTAAATTATTGAGCTAATATGAACAGAAAGAAAAGAATACATTCAAGGGGAGATAAATTTGCATTGCTAATATTAAACCTGAGCCAGGCAACAAATCATCCGAGTCCCCATAATTAATTATTTCTCCCTTAAACTTCATCTTCTGGCCTGCAGGAATGTATGTAAAAAAAAATGATAAAATTACTATTATTATATTTACTTAATTTGAATTATTTACTTAATACAATGTACCTAACACTTCTGAACCATTTATAACTGCATGCAGATAATAAGATTAGAATAGAGTTGCCACTTGACCAAATCAAGAGCTTAGATGTTTATTAATTAAAATATTTTTGTGTTTTGTTTATTTGTTTGCTTTTTGGTTTTGTTGTTTTTTCATTTTGTTTGTTTTTTAATTTGTTTTTTTTTTCGGGGGGGGGGGGGGGGGGGGGGGGCTTATTATAAATTATAAATTACTTTATTCATGTTCCTGGGATTTTTTTCATTGGATTACTTAATTTTACAGATTTTTTTCCTCCAACATATTTCTTATTATGCAAAAGAGATGAAAAAAGTCATTTCATTGATGAATATTATGACTAAAACTAAGAATATTTTTTAAGAACAATTAAGCAAATAACTGAAAATCTACTATTCAAATGCAGTCTGATTTCCCATCTACCCAACCTAATATTGATTAAAGGCACGATGCATTCTAGAAATCATTAATACATGTATTTCAGAAAAGATTAGAAAGTAAGTAGAAAAGGCTAAAACTAAAGCTCCTAACCCAACCATTTTTCAAAAGAAAAAAAATTCTAATTAAAAAAAAAAAAAAACAGACAAGTTAAATTACTGACAGTATTAATAAAGTTTATATCATTATAGAATGAAGAAATTCAAATTAATTCTTTTTTAAACATGGTTTTTGATCTTCATGCTGCTAAAGCTTAATGATATATCTGCAACAAACAATGGGCAACAGTATGCAGTTTAATACGTTGCAACATTATATACCTTTGGCAAACCTAGATTGTGGACGGGCGCCTGTGTCCAAAAATACAGGAAAGAAAAAATCCATGAGAAACACACAGAGAATTAAAAACAAGAGGCCCATGGGCCACATCACTCACCTGAGCACATTGGCTAGGAATAAAAGCAAAAATCAGTTCAGTATTGAAAAGTTAACGGGGGAGGGGGGGGGGGGGATGGGGGATTTTAAACTACCTAACAATGCTTTCATATCAATATAACAAATGACTTTGCTGTTCTTGAGAGAAAGATTTTTTCCTATATATTCCTCTGTAAGCTTTGATCACCCATTGTGGCCCCACCCTACCTCCGGGGGTCATGATTTGAACAAACTTGAATCTACACTACCTGAGGATGCTTCCATATAAATATGACTAATCATGTCTTTGCTTATCTTGAGAAGAAGATTTTTAAAGTTTTTTTCTATATACTCTTATGAAAAACTTTGACCCCCCCCCATTGTGGCCCCACCCTACCCCCAGGGGTCATGATTTGAACAAGCTTGAATCTACACTATCTGAGGATGCTTCCATATAAATATGACCAATCATGGCTTTGCTGTTCTTAGGAAGAAGATTTTTAAAGATATTTTCCTATATATTTCTGTGTAAAACTTTGATCCCCCATTGTGGCCTCACCCTACCCCCGGGGGTCATTATTTGAACAAACTTGAATCTACACTACCTGAGGATGCTTCCATATAAATATGACCAATCATGGCTTTGCTGTTCTTAAGAAGAAGATTTTTAAAGATATTTTCCTATATATTTCTATGTAAAACTTTGATCCCCCATTGTGGCCTCACCCTACCCCCGGGGGTCATGATTTGAACAAACTTGAATCTACACTACCTGAGGATGCTTCCATATAAATATGACCAATCAGGGCTTTGCTGCTCTTAAGAAGATTTTTAAAGATATTTTCCTATATATTTCTATGTAAAACTTTGATCCCCCATTGTGGCCTCACCCTACCCCCGGGGGTCATGATTTGAACAAATTTGAATCTACACTACCTGAGGATGCTTCCATATAAATATGACCAATCAGGGCTTTGCTGTTCTTAAGAAGAAGATTTTTAAAGATATTTTCCTATATATTTCTATGTAAAACTTTGATCCCCCATTGTGGCCCCACCCTACCCCCGGGGGTCATGATTTGAACAAATTTGAATCTACACTACCTGAGGATGTTTCCACATAAGTTTCATCTTTCCTGGCCCAGTGGTTCTTGAGAAGAAGATTTTTGAATGATGCCATTATTTTTTCAATAACTTCTAATTATCTCCCCTTGAAAGAGGGCGTGGCCCTTCATTTGAACAAACTTGAATCCCCTTCATATAAGGATACTTTGTGGCAAGTTTGGTTGAATTTGGCCCAGTGGTTCTTGAGAAGAAGATGAAAATGTGAAAAGTTTACAACAACAGCAACAACGCCAACGACAACAACGACAGACAACGGACAAATTTTGATCAGAAAAGCTCACTTGAGCCTTTGGCTCAGGTGAGCTAAAAAACAGAAATCTGAATTTTACTGAGATATTTTTTTTTAAAATTACAATAAAGAATCAAAATGTATATTTTCATGATGAGGATCAAGGAAGGGGATTGAATTGGTTCACTGTGTAGAAGGGAGTAAATCAAGAAATGTTGTGGAATTCAAAGGAAGGTTCTGTAGGAATATCCATGCATGTTATGAATGAAAAAAGTCATTTTTCAGGAATTCAACACAAAATTTTGAAAAAGAGAGAAAAAAAATAACTCCATTGGGTCAAAACAGAAACAGGGTAAAAAAATTACCTTCTGCAGGTTCTAAATAATTATAAAACATGTAACTTAATTAAAAATGTTCAACAAATAGATGAATTTGGGTTTTTTTCTTATTAAAAAGTTAATGTTTATTCTTAAATTTCAATTTCTCAGAACATAAAACATTAGTTTTAATGATAGAGATTTAATTAGTACAAAATGTACCTAAAAAAAGTTCATAAAGAAAAGAAAAAAAAATAAGGATGAAGAAAAATATTAACCTCTTATATTCTACACAGATTAAGAAAGAGTATATAACAATTGATCTATCATATAGATATTGTTAATCAAAAATGTCTATTTTATATTACATTTATAAGCATAGTATATATAGTGAGTTCTCTGGCCAATCATGATAAATAGAGTTTTCATGTGAATAGAATAAATTAGACTTCTTGTCACTTAATTTCTATAAAAACTAAATCTACAATTCTTACATCTCCAATGACATGATTCATTTCATTTATTTTTTTTATGACCATTATTATATCATACATGTATTTTTTTAAAAAAAAAAAAAATTAAGATTAAGCATTACATTTTCAATGAATGGAGCTAAAAGAAAACACATTGTATGAATAAGTTCATGATCATACTTCAATCTGTTTTTAGTATAATATGTATATCTATGTCCAATAGACCTATGCATATAAGATCTTTCAGTGTTTACAAACATCTAATTGATCATGAATCTCAGTGTTTACAAACATCAAATTGAGCCTGATTCTCACCTTCTTCCTCTTTCTCCTCCTCCTCCTCGTCAAGTTTTTCCTGAGACTCCATCTGAGCAATGTATGGATCCTTAATCTGCAAGGACAAAAATTCGGAATCTAAGCCTTCAAATATATACAGCTGACATTGGTCTGGCAATAAAATTCCTTTGTAAAACAACAGGGCATTTGTAACTTTTTTCATCCATACATCAACTGGCTGATTGATTTTAATAATGCCAATATCTTAAAATGCAATTGTGGATTTAATATTTGTTTGAGCCTTCAATATGATTCAAATTAAATATTAACTGCATGCATGAATATACAGTAAAATTCAGTTATAACAAAAGGCAGTCACTGTGACTTTGAATTTTAATTGCTTCCTTATATATAAACAAGATTATTTATATCTGTTTAAGAAACATAGTGAAAAAACTACAACAGGATTTGTCGAAGCTCCTTATAAATGAGATTTCCCTATAAAGAGTTCTTTATAACCTAGTGATACTGCACTCAGAGTGTAAATATGTCAAAAGAATATCATTATCATTATAATACATCTGCAGTCAACTTCGAAATTTGTAAAATAAAAAAAAATATAAATATATAAAATAAATTAATAAAATCAAAAAAAAAAAATTTTAAAAATCAAATGAAAGATGACCCATATTGAGTGTCTATATGGATGACAAGTTTCAAGTGAAAATGTGACTCCATGTAGGTATAGAGAGAGGTGCATGACAAGTGATCCCAGTCTGTTAGCCATACATAAAAGATTTACCTCCTTCCTTTCAGCTCCCCCATCTATCACTTTGTGCTCGTGTTGTAGCTGTTCTGTTATGGTTCTAAGAATTTTTGGAGAGTTTGCTCCCCTGACAACTGCTACTAAAACACCTCCCTAAACAGGTACATTTATGTAATTATTGTTAAGAGAAAATAATGTGCAAGGAATCTATTTTAGTATAAAGAAAAAAGAACATGCTTGCAATTAATACATAAAAAGGGTTTACACTGTATGTCTCTGTCAGTTGGAATATTACAGCATGTTTGGAAAATTTCCATCAACTATTTAAAATGTTATGAAAACTGTTTGTCATAAATAACTAAGTATTGCACCAGATCATGTTTTATAAAACTGATTTGGATTAAATCATAAAAAAAATCATGAATTTCATTATACATTTATGTATACCTTTTAAAAACGTAACAAAAAGGGAAATAACTTACAGCATAGAAAAGGAAACATGGTTCACAGTGTCCTCTGTATTTCTCTAGAGCATCAATGGTATCTGCTTTTGCCTAATTATATCACACAACACAAAATTTGAATTTATAATGAAATCTTTTTAAGAAACCAAACATTTACATCATATATTGACAATTAAGCTTATTCAGAATTATATCAGAATTACTGCTAACTTTTTTAAATGCATGAACATTTTATTTTTAACATCACTTTCATCTAATATATATATAACCAGTATGTCTTTTAATTCATAAAAATTAAAGGAATTACTGGATAATACATTTATATTACAAAATTAAATATGTAGAAAACACCAATTCTAGAATTAGATATGAAAATACATAAATTAAAAAATGGAAGCAATTTGTGCAAAGACAATGTCAGTCAACAGTTGTTTTCTATCCTACATGTCAATTAATTGAAAAAAAGAACATTTATCCTAAAAGCCTATTGTTTCTACAGTATTTAAGATCGAATTAAGCTTCTTTCAAGCAGAATCTAAGATGATTTTTTTTCTCCTTTTGACTGATTTTTGTGTCACAGCGATAGAAAGGAAATAAATGTAAAAAGAATATATAAGAAAGATGATAAATTACAGAGCAGTTTCTATCTTTAATATTAACTTCAGAAAGTTCTTTTTTTAGCAAGAAAAGCCAAATTTAAGTCAAGAATAAGAAATAGTAAAGTTTTCTATATGCTATATCAAACTTCTATAGATCAATTGCTACTTTTCATTTTTCTTGCGCTATTTAACTTACAACAGCAAAATGAAGGAGCTCGTCTCCAAGTTCATTTTTTAATCGGCGTAGATTTGCAATTAGACAAGTGCAAGGTCCACTCCACTCTTGGTAGATATCAACAACTGTCAACAACAAACCAAATTAACCAACCAAATGGCATTACGCAAAAACACACCCATAAGTCTATTCACACACAAGGTCTATACCCTAGTCAGCTACCGTTTTGTATTAAATTATTTACGGATATTTTTATTTGAGTTTTGATCCCTTTTCCCCCAAGTTCCTTGGTGTAAACAGACTTTTAAATCAGCAAATAACAGAATACATGCATAAATATAGTGGCAGGGATTGCAGGGTATAAATATTATGTTCCACCATTTTAAAATAAAGTTTTTCTGTTATTTGCTAATTCAATTAATGCACATATCAAGCCAATGAGAGAACACATATGTATTAAGATTGGGTAGGGATTAGACACGTTTTTTTTTTTTTTCCAATATAGTACATGTATTATACACATTAACAATTTATTGGGACTAAGAGACCTACAATTAATAGTAATTAAACAAGATACCAATGTTGGTCATTGTTCTTTAAAAGTTCTTATAATGTATTCTCTTGTTGACTAATGATATCCATGCATCAGTATTAGTGAATCTTTAGTAAACATACATAAAAATAGCACTGCACACATGGGAATTTTTTAAAAATTGTGAAAAAAAATTTTTTTTGTTGAATCATCAGCTGTGTGAAAAATTTCAATGACTCCAAATTGAAAACAAAATAAGTGGGAATTGCTGAAAGAAGAAAATCAACGTAAACAGAACTGGTTTGAACATGCAATATAATTTATAGAATATCAAAATATACATATAATATCCTTTTTCATGTGACACGTACATAAAAACAAAAAACTCTGGGTGGGCCAAAGCTGTGGGTGTCACATCTAGAACAAACTCATAACGATCGAACAGGAAATATATCCAATGACACAACACCATGTGACTTACAGCTGCAAGTTTAAGTAGTTCATCTCCGATATCATTTCGGATTTTCTTAAGGTTGCTAAGCATTCCTTTACAGGGACCACACCATTGCTGGTAAATGTCTACCACTATAATACCAAGTCTCAAATGAAAACTAGGAAATAATTCTCTAAATTCTTTACACCTTTCACAACATCTAATAATTACATGTACAAAAACATTTATCGGCCATCCCCTTAAAGGTAATAAATACAGTATTAGAAAACGTTTCAAATTCCATGTCAGGTTTGGAAGTTTTGACACGAATCAAAAACATTATTTGAATTTTAATTTAATGCTTAATTAACATGGTGGTAAGCAGGTAAAAGAAAGGTAGTTGGTTGTTCAATATTTTTGAAAAGCAAATATCACTAAAACTAACTCCATTCATTACATTGGCCATACTTCATTACTGCCCTTGAATATGAAAGCCAAGGTTTAATAATTTTCTAAAATTTCCATATCATATTGGTCTGTTTTCTTTATTATAATATACACTTGTAGATATTAAACAATATTCAGTCACTTTGGAGGTTTATATTGTGGTGTATTAATCACATGTGCTTTCAACATCAATATAAAAGTTGTGATTTTTAGGGTTTTGCACATCAATTAAATGACTTACAGTGGCAAATTTCAAAAGTTTATCACCCAGATCAATTTTGGTTTTTTTGAAAACGCTGACAAGACTAGTGCAAATGCCACTCCATCCCTGGTAGACATCAATTACTGTTAGGAGAAAAGCAGTTTTTTTTAACTATAGAACCTGTAGTTTTTAGACTAATGCATTTTGTGATCTTGAAACCTCTAGGAATTTAAGAATGATTTCTGAAACACATAGATCTGTATTAGAACTGTAAAAAAAAATCGCTATTCATAATTTGTCCCACTTTGGTTTAACATTGGCAGTCCTCATTCTGAAAATGGTTCTTTACTGGTCAAATTGTCCTTAAACTTAAAAAAAAAATTATTTAAGCTTTCTGATATAATTAATTAAACAACCCATTCTCAGTTATTTCAAGTTAAATTCTCATCCAGACATTTAAGAAGACATCAACTGCTGGTATTAATTATAACATCAATATTTCAGACAAATTACTTTGACAATGAGAATCTGAAAAAAATCCTCTTAGTTTTTCCAGTATTTTCAAAATATTTCCATACTAAAGATTTTTGGTCAAAAAACTATAGAATAATACGAGGGGTGATCAAAAAGTTCACGAACTATTTCTATATTTACAAAACCACAATTCAGATCAGAATGAAATTTGGCACACATATAGTCATACACGTTCTATAAATAACAGATGTTAAATAATGTTTTGCTCCGTGTTTGTGACTTCACAATGTGAAAATGACATCAATATGTAGGTCACTTGTGACAAAAAAATGGTTGTTTTGAACATATTTTATTGACAATGTGTCAAAGGGATTGGACACAAGTTCTAAAAACTTAGATAGTCCTCTCCCATGGTTGACTCAGCCGTACTCAAGCAACAAACGGCTGTAAAGTTTAACGTATATCTTGGAAATTCCTTCGCAGTAGAATATGATAATTTGTACAAGGTTAATGAAGACAAAAGACCTACCAGAAGTTCAATCATCAATTGGATTGATTGTTTAAGTGAAGACAGGGAGATGGTTAAAAATGATGTTTGTTCTGTTGCCCAGTGAAAGCAAGCTGGGGAAAAGATGTGTCCTTAGTTAAGCAATTTGTTATGAAACATCGTCAAGTTACAATTAGAATACTGGTTGAAATATTAACAATAATATGATTATTACATCCCTAAAATATCGTTTACTTTAGACTTTAAACATATGAGATATGATAAAAAGAAGGTGCCCATACTTTATCCACGTTGGATAAACGACGCTCCCGAGACAGAGGACTCGGGTTGTAATGGGTCACCATACTAATTGTGGGAAGGGATATCCTTATCCACCCATCCTATTGCCGAGATTTGGCCATTTCTGACAGATGGACTGTTCTTGTTATAAAAAATAGCTTGCATGGTAAGAAATGCAAGAATCGGAAAAATCTATTAGCTTCTCTGAACAGACTGCTATGGAGCACGTCACGTGACTACCTGGATCACGTGATTCGCGCATGGGCAGAACAATGGCAGATGTGCATTAAAATTGGAGAGAACTACTTTAAAAAATAATAAACACTGAAACCTCATTTTAATTTTTTTAAGGAAGTTATTCAATTAGTTCGCGAACTTTTTGATCACCCCTCGTATGTCATATCATTGTTTCGAAAGTCTGATCACCAATTATTAGAATAAACATGCCGTTGTTATATGGGGTACATGCAGTTATGATTCAATTAAAGAGAAAAAAGATAAAACATACATGTTATTTCCTTATAATTGTTATAAAAGCAAAATACAGAAAGCTCTGCGCTCAACACAGGTACAGCGCCACACACAGCTCAATGGCCGTAGCAAGATGTCGATGGCATAGAAACTTACAATCACAAAGTTCAACAAGCTGTCACCAAGTTCTAGTTTTATTTTTTTAAAAGTTCCAGTTATTGATGCACATGGGCCGCACCAGCTCAAGTATACGTCTACAACTATTTTTCAAAACATTAATGTAAACATTAAACATGTACCGGTATATAATTGCTAAAAGGAAGAGATTTGAATTTTTCAGTCTAACATTCTAAGTGTTCATAATCATGTTTTGATTATCTGATTCCTGAAAACGAAAAGATGCATTAGCAATACAAATAAGTATTATACAAATAAAAATGGTGATAGTAATTAGCAAGTTGTCTAGAATTATTCCTTATATCTTCTGTAAATGTGGAAATTTAAGTGTGGTTTTTAAAAAAATTATAAAAAGACATAGCTACTACTAAAACCTCTTCATAGTAGGTCGATAATTGCTTCTCATTTGCATATTAATTAACAACACATGTAAATATAATTATACATGTTTACAGTAATCCTCTTTGAAATACATGAACAATGTACTCCATTATAGCACATGATCTGTTATCATAAAATTGACGACACTAGGACATTTCATTTATAATATAGTCTGTATTAAATTCCTCTGTATTAACATGCATGTTGTAGGTCTAAATCCTGGTATCCAGTCACCAGTTTATATTTATTTACTGTTTTGTGAAACTTAAGCTGTGCTTAATACTTTATAGCATCTCCCTTTCTCCCCCTCTCTCTCTCTTGCTCTCAAACTAGAAATATTCTTTGATAATGCTACAACCATCTGTGTTTGTGACATTCCTCAAATCATCCAGGACAGCATATATTCCTCAACCGACAAGTCTCAAAATTTTGTGCTTGAAGCTGTGTTATTTGCTCTGATTTTTGATCAGCATAACATTCATGACAACATCACTAATTCACTTACGACTGCGAAATGAAGGAGGGAATCACTCAGATCAACATTTATCCGCTTAAGAATTGGTACAAGGCAAGTACACCTTCCAATCCATTGTTGATAAACATCTACAACTTTTAATTGTCGAAAATGGTATATAAAGTTTCAATTCATGTTTTTTTTCCTTAATTCCATTTGATATTTTGAGTTTTTAAAAAATGAAATAATAAATTCAAGAACTTCGGGTCTGTACTTTATGTGTGCATGTTTATGAAAAGGAACACAAGTACTGGTCAAATTAAAAAAAGTTGGAAAGGTAAATTCCAATTGTTTCTATGAAATATTTTTTCATATGGCAAAATCTGAAGTTTTGATTCTGGAATTTTAATATTTTACAGTTAAAGAAAGATATTACTGCATATATGCAACAATATAACATTAAGGTATACAATCATATCATTAAGTATCAAAATATGGGGAATAAATTAATTTTAATTCCTTATTTTAAATAAACAGAAGGTTCATTGACCTTGATATAATGATCATCTTAAAATCAGAAGGTAAGTTTTTTAGAGCAATGTTTCTATTAATCCATTGTAAAACTTAAGGGTCTAAATGGGTACAAATAAACACTACATGGAGATGATGAATTTGAATAATTGTCATCCTGCATTTTTGAAAAGGTTTTGAGAGATTTTTCCCTTCAGAAGTTAAGATGTTTTGGTAGCTGCTTGGTCCCTTAATGTGGACCCATCCAGGAGCTGGGTGCTATGAGAATCAGCTTGAATTTTCACTATGTAAGGACAAAACTTTCACCTTCATTTTGTTTAGTGTTCTTTAGAATGTTCCCACCTTTTTTATTTATTATTATTCTTTATCTTCCTTTGGAAAATAGCATGATCCTTCATTTGAACAAACATTCGATTTCGTTAAACCCTCAATATGCGAGGATAACTAATATTTGCAAGTTTGGTTAAAAACGGCTGTGAAATTCTGGTGAAGAAGATTAAAATATGAAATATTAATGAATAAAGGATGATAATGGATGGCAATATTCCAATTGACTAAAGTGACCCCCCCCCCCCCCCAAAAAGAATCATCTTGTTTGTCGACATTATATACTCGCATTAATTTAAGATCCCTGTATAACTTAAATTCCATTATTGAGTTTATTTGCAAAAACGTACAAACAGGAAAAGACAAGATAAATTTAACAATGTAATTCTTATAAATATTACATATATCAGAAAGTATGAAGTGCACATAATCTTTACCATAAAGACCCTCCTTGGATAGCATGTCCTCCCATTCCTCTTGCGTTTCGATTTCTTGCTGCAGCTGCGCTTCCTGCTTTCGTCTAGCCATGATAACTTTTTATGTTATCTGAAAATTTGACAGAAATTGTTGCCTCGGTATCTGTGAATGAATATCCTGCGCTGCTATTATTTAACATTAGTTTGAAAATGCATATGTATGTTTACATTCAAAATTATTCTTCGTAACGCACACTTTTTTCAAGGAGAGTCAACAATAATCTTGTCTAGATAAAGATTCACATACATAAAAACAGAAAATGCACAAAAAATTAAAAAGATAATGATATAAACACACCTTTACCTCCACAACGCCTGTCTTTCCCCGCACCTTTCTGTTACAGGTTGTTTGGTCTAGTAACAGACACTTCCGGTTAATTTTGATTGGTTCAAGCAATGAGACTAAAAGTTGAATGGTAAGCAAAAAATATCCGGGAAATATTTTTCTCTTTTCATTCGATATTTTATATTACTTTCTCTCGCACAGATAATGTATTTGGACAGTCCAACAGAATATATGACAGCATATGCATATTTCAGAAATATTTCTTCCTGTATAACGGATACATTACACGAGCGGATCCAAAAACTGGGGTCTTGTAGTCACACCGCCTCGTCCTCTATTCCTCAATTTTAGCATAAAATTAAAAAAAAAAAATTACTACAGAGTTAGAACTGAAAATCTTGAGTTTGTTTTGTGTGTTTATTTGGACTGATAGTAATCTAAATAGACGAATTATGATACGCAGGTCAAACTAAATTGGGGGGGGGGGGGGGGGTAGGGTTTACAAATCAAAAGTTACATATATAAACTACAGCAAACTATTATTTTCAGAAAAGTAAGCCCCCTCCTCTCTCTCTCTCTCTCTCTCTCTCTCTCTCTCTCTCTCTCTCCGCATACCCTGGAGACATTTTAAACCTTCCTATTCATTGATTAATGTCAGAAGAGAAATATTCTCTTATGTAAAATTCCCTTTCGTGCCTTTTTATGCATACTTCTTGAAGTTAGTTACTTCAGAAGATGGTCCAAAAATGGCATAGCTGACGTTCGCCGGAATCCTCCGATGATATCAAAGTGAAAACTTGCATGTTACTTGTGGGTGGTTGGGGCCCGGGGCCGGGGTTGTGGAGGTGCACGGAGGAAAGTAAATACGCGAAACTCTATCTACCGAGCAGAAAGGGCAGAAATTGAACTACATGTATTTATTTTAATCAAAAATATTAGGCGTTAAAATATCTATATTACAGAAGAAAATTATCTCTCTCCAAAAATAAAGGGGGATGGGGTTCCAACCCCCGGAACCCCACCCCCCTCTGGATCCGCCAATGCCTTCTATAGAATAGTCTTTGTATGACGTCACCATTACAAGACTACTAAAACGTAACAAACAGTGTGACGCAACAATCATCACTACAACAAAAAGCGAAGAAGAGAGGCAAAACACAGAGGTAAAAGTCACCCAGATATGGCTCTTTTTGATCAATACATATATAAGTAGATTTTGTTTCAAAAACGTTTTAAAAAATTAAGTACTTATCCCGACGCTTTGTCTTTTCTTCTTTTTGTAGAAATAAAAAATCATGGACTACAACGCAATTTTGGATTTCGGAGAGAACCTCGTCACAGATGTGGTAAGTTCAATTCTCTCCTTCCTTAAACCATTAGCACCCCGCCACCTTAATTGGAAAATCAGAAATATATCTGTTAGTTATGTATGTGGGAAATATTTTTTTTTTTGGATTTCATCAGCATCCAAAACTATGATCCCGAGAACTGGTCAATCCCCCCTTCTTTTATTATTGGCATACGCTCCCCACATCTCTGCATAGATATCGGCGGATCTAGAGGGGTGGAGGTTCCGGACCCCTCCCCCACCCTATTCAGAATTATTAAATTTCTATGTAAAAGTAAAAAATGACCCTGACCCCTCCTCCAAAGAAAATTGACTTAGGAAAGTATACTCCTTCCCCCATCCCCAACTCGATATAGGATTTTCAAGTTGTTAAGTTGTTGTTTTTTCTCTCCTAATTTTGCTTGTCAAAACATTTCCGAGTCAATTGTTACGGTTGATGTGGAACCCACCCACTCTCATCCGAAAAAAAATCCTGGGTCCGCCCCTGTGAGATTCGGCTTTTACAGACCTTCCAGGACCGGGATTTTTCGGGAGGGGGGCAATCATTTTAAGTTTGGATGGGCACTAGGTACAAGGCTAAAATTCAATGACAAGCAAAAAAGGGGGGGGGGCATCGGAAGTAATTATTGAGGGGGTACATCCATAAAAAATCTTTGATTTCTATAGTATTATATATCTGCAAAATTAGGGAGGGGGAGGATCCTATGGCCATGCCATTATTGATGAATATTTCCCCTGAATTGTTCAATACATTCAATTTACCAAACATTAACTTGTTGATCAATTAAATGAATAATTTTAGGATACGAAACTGAAGATCTTAAAGTTCGATTACCAGTGGGTTGATGCTGTGGAGGAGGAAGAGAGACGTATGGAGGTACACATTCAGAAATTATCTATGTATAAGTTATATATTAGTTTACCTATACTTTCGTCATTAACTTTATAGAAAAAATACATCTGGTTTCGGAGTGGTTACAGGTGTTTATGTTTTTATCCCAACAAAGTAACAGTCAAATTATAATTTTGGGACAATGGTTATTTTGAAAGATAAATTTTGTTTAAGAAAATAAAGATGACATACACTTCAGACATATTCAAGGTGATATACTAACCCGATTTTTTTATCTGGTAGGAGGATCAAAAGCAGAAAACAGAGATGAAGAGAAAGTTAGATAAAGAAATTGTAGGAGAGAAGAAAGACAGCAACACAAATGACAACAGGTATGAAGATGCAATCACTGGTCCAAAAATTACGATAATATATCTGTATATACGTTTTGTGTATCAATATTTGGTGGTACGTGTAATGACACACTTACTGAAAATCTTTATCCATTTATATTTTTGCAGAGTTGCAACAGCTTTGGACTTTGGAGATGAGGCGGTTAAAAACTGGGTAAGTACATGCAATTAGAATCCAAATGCTGAACAGAATGTTGCAAAAATGTATATATGCAAAGTATATATTTGCCAAATTATATCCATCTGACATCCAGGAATTCTTCTTTTTCATTTTTTTTTTTTTTTTTTTTTTTGATAATCAAGGTCATGTACATCAAAACATTCTATAAGTCAAAATTTTTATATTTTAGGTGAATTCATTTGAGTAAATAAATAGATGACACATCTTTCTATATTTTTATACTCATCATACATTTAATTGCAAACACTTTATTTGGTTGTTCTTTTTTCAGGAAACAAAGCTCCAGATTCTAAAGTTTAGTTATAGTTGGGCAGACCAGGTAGAAAAAGAGGAAAAGGCAGCGATTCAGGTACAAATTCTATAGAATGAATTAAATTTCAAGCAATTTTTAATACCATAGAACTGTTAAGAGTTTTCTAATACATAAAAAAAACTCTGACTTAAATTTGTGATTAAGTTCATGAATAAATCGGCAACTCTTACATCCCAATTACCATTTTATTTTTGTAGGAGGCAAAAGCTGCAGAGGAGACGGTTCACAAGGAGGAAAATAAAACCCAGCATATTAGTATTGGAGGAATCCTGACAAAACAACAGAAAAACTCTCCTAGGATGTAAGTCTCCTTTTTCTTAGTTCTTTCCAACCTTTGACATTATTTGATAAATTTTAATATGATTAAGGTTTTTTTTCCTTCCGTAAAATGGTACCTTGCAAAATATTTCCAGATTAAAATTTTCTTAGCGATTCAGTAACTGAGCCATAAGTTATTTTATACACCAAGAATGATACTATTCTCTGGAAAAATATTGATTTTTAAAAAAAAAAATGACTTTCTGACTTTCTATAACTATGTTTTAAGCTTGCAAACTTATTTCAATTAATTTATTAATTACAGGAAACTAGCAGCTTGTGTAAGAAGAATCAAAGCAAAGGAACTTGCTAAGGTCTTGATTGAAAAACAAAACATAAAGAAAGTAGAGGTAAAGGGATCAATTCTATATTGAACAGCAGTGATTTACTCATTTGAATTTTTCCAGTAAGTTATTGGAGATGGGATTTTGCTTCTAAGAAGCAAAGTTATGACAATAAGATAAGTTTCAAGTATATAATGGAAACAAAATGTATATAGCCTTAATTTCTTCCATTTTTAGACTGCTGAATCCACAAAGCAAAGAGATCCAAGGGATACCAAAAAGACATTAGATCTAGGAGCAGTTGGAGATAAGAAGGAGAAATCAGATGCCTGTGAATCCGAAGCGTCTGTCAAACCAGTAGTCCAGGATGGAGAAGTGTGTGGACAGTCATTAGTTGGCATTTTAGACACCCAAGTAGATGTTTTAAGGAATCCTTTTCCAAATACTTCAGTGGATATGTCTAGTGTGTGTATTGCAAGGACCTCTGAGGATAAGAAAATAACATCTCTGCAGGAAGAACAGGAATGTATTGATATACATGTACCAGAAGCAATGGAATTAGAAGTTAACAAGGATCAGAAGATTTCACTTAAGGTATATAAAAACAGAACTTACGTGTACTTTGTAGATGTAATATAGGTAACAATTAGGAAGGCAAAAAAGATTCTCATGAATTTACATACTTTTAAACTATTTTTTCTATACTTTTTGAAAGTTAATATCATAATAAAAGTTTGATTGTGGTATACATGTATTATATTTTCAGCTTTTGAATAAGGATGATGATAGTTATTGCGACGATGACGATGATGATGATGACGATAGCCTGTTTGGGCCAAGAAAACTTTTCTTCTTTGGCATAGATTATTTTAAGGTATAGGAAAACTACATTTGTAAATTATTTAATTGTATTTGGTATCTTTCTCATCTTTACAAATATTTCTTTTGAATTTTCCAATAAACCCTCATACTAGTATGTGGATAATGCCACCTCTTCTATTCTCATATTAATCATAGTGAATTTTGTTCTAAAACATTTTTAAAAACATCTTCATTAACTTTTATTTCAAAAACTTTCATTTGTTGTAGGATGCTGGAAAAACTGGCTGGCGAAGAGAAGCATGAGCGAAAGAATACACCGGATAAAACATGATAGAACTATTACTTTGTTTTAAAGAAAGAACATTTTTCCTTAAAAAAATAAATTTTATTACCTATAAAATAGAGAGTTTATTCTTTATGAGGACTTTTTCATTTGTCGTACGTAGAAAGGTTTCACCGATTAGGTCTCTTGCAAACTCGTCCAGTAATGAGGCTGATCTGCATTGGATATACATGTATGCCAAATACAGTTTTGTATGAAAATTATCAGTTTGAGACCCAATTTATATTTCAATTGATATGCATGCATCAATTCTATTGTTGACTAAAGTAATCCGAGGACACGATGGACAAATTGACCGCAAAATCTTTTCTGCACGTGAAGTTGGAAAGACAAGAAAAATGTCGATAAAGGAAATACATAGAACAAAAAATACAAAATATGTTAAGAAATAATTAAACGTAAAATACCCAATGACGCGAATGTCATCAGACCAAGCCAGCTACATGTAGTGGATCACTTTTGCAAGACCATTCCAAGTAAATTCAGGCGTGGATCCAGGAATTTTCTATTTCGTGGGGGGGGGGGGGGGGGTGTAGCCCCTCCACTTCACTTCGTAAGCTTCATGTGCATGACTTTTCCTACCAACTTAATAGGGGTCCGCGTTTTCTAGGGGGGGGGGTGTACTAAAGTCACTTTAGTTGCTTTAACTTATACATTAAATAACTCTGCAAATTCCGGGGGGGGGGGGGGGTCCGGCCCTCCCCCTCTACATCCGCGCATGAAATCTCTTATAAAAAAAAATAATACTAAAGAAACTTATATGTACTGAAAGTACTTGCTAGTGATACAAATTTTAAAACATAAAGCAATTTATATTCAAAATAAATCTAAGAGCTATTCAGTAATACTAACTGACATGGCGTCTTAAATGCACCGCGACATCTTTGCGGGACACAGCAAAATGTTTATTAGAAACTCTGTGTAATGGAAATTATTTTCATTGTCTATCAGGAACTAGTAGCTCTTTGGAAGTACTCAGTGAATGTCAAATCAGATTTATATATTACCTGATAATCGTACTTTTCATTTGGAGTTCCTTGAACCCTTTTCTATTGTAAACGATTTGTATTGGATGCAATTTTATTTCATATCAAATATCATTCAAAATAGTTGTTTTGTTTAATTTACAATTATTTCAATTATGATTACTAAATGTATTGCCTTTAAGACATATTGATGACGGAAATTCAACAATTTAAAGAAGAACAGTGTAACTACATAAAGGTGCATTTACATGTGCATATATGAGTTCTGGACGCTTTTTCAATTATTATATGATTGAATAATTCCCATCTCTCTGATTGGCTGCGATCCAACAATGTAGAAAAAATACTACCTTATATTCACCTGCACGTGACCTTTTAGGTGAAAATAAGGATTTATTTTCTGTAGTCTACATTTGTCTAAAATCCAAATTGATTCAAACAATTTTGGAAAGCTATTTCACTTGCTACCGACTCCTAGTCATGTGAACATAACATTAGGGAATATATAACTTGAGGTGGAGGTGGTTGTCGGGGTTTGGTGCAGGGACACCCCCTCCCCCTGCAATTTTTTTTTTCTGAACGTAAATATTTACTTTTAATTTAGACCAAAAATATTCATTGTAGACTAAAAGTATTCATTGAAAGACTGGCCCCCCAAAAATAGACTTTAATCACCAACCGCTAACCACATCCCTACGAAAACCTATTAGGATCAAACTACGGTAAAAAAAAAAATTAAAAGGCGTTATAACGCCTTTTCAAAAGGCGTTATAACGCGAAAAAAGGCGTAATAACGCCTTTTGAAAAGGCGTTATTACGCCTTTCCAAAAGGCGTTATTACGCCTTTCTAAAAGGCGTTATTACGCCTTTCCAAAAGGCGTTATTACGCCTTTCTAAAAGGCGTTATTACGCCCTTCCAAAAGGCGTTATTACGCCTTTCCAAAAGGCGTTATTACGGCTTTCCAAAAGGCGTTATTACGCCATTCCAAAAGGCGTTATTACGCCTTTCAAAAAGGTGTTATTACGCCCTTCTAAAAGGCGTTATTACGCCTTTCCAAAAGGCGTGATTACGCCTTTTCAAAAGGCGTTATTGCGGCTTTCCAAAAGGCTTTATTACGCCATTCCAAAAGGCTTTTTAAAAGGCGTTATTACGCCTTTCAAAAAGGCGTTATTATGCTTTTTGAAGGGCCATTATTATGTCTTTGACAGGCCCGTGCTTTTAAAGTGGGGGGGGGGGTCCCATAAAATTGACAAGCAAACATAAAAACAAGAAACAACCCCCCACCCCACCCCGAAAAAAAAATAAACTGCCTAAACTTGAGGGAAAAGTTTTTCTAATTTTTCGGTAAAACTTTTTTTAAATGCAATGACTTGCCCGAGTTTAACCATACTGCAACAAAATGTTAAGGGACCAAGCAATCAATATATGATTTTTTATATTTAAACTATAGCAAGACTATTCTCCCAAAAAGTGGGGAGGGGGTGCCCCCCCCCCCACTCACATTCGTACTACCGGCCTGTTTGAAAAGGAAAAATGGAAAGGCGTTATTTTAAAATAATTTAACTTTGTTTGTATTCTAGCCTCTGATTGGTTAATATCCAAAAAGGAACACAAATTATTTCTGTATAACCTGGTTTGGTATGGGGACACACCCCCCTGACAACCAGCTGAATCATCTGTATCCATGCAATCCTCTCATTTCCAGTCCTCGGGATTCATGGAAAATTCCAGATTTAATAAATGTACCTTTAACTTCAAACAGTAACTTGGATCTTACCACATGTAAACAAACAACATGGCTGCTAGGACTATGTATCAGTTTTTACCTCCCCTCGCTTCCCATCACTTCCGTTACTAGGGTTGTATTATTAAGCGGCAAATTTGAACTAATAAAAAGCAACGAAATTTTACACCCACAGTTGTTTAATGATTTTAGAATTAAATTATAAGGAATGACTCTAATTCTTGGCCAAATTATTCAAGTATAACCTGGTTTGGGTCAGTTTACGCTGTTTTATAATCCGCTTCGCGGATTATAAAGCGTAAACTGACCCAAACCAGGTTACCGGGGTATACTCGAATAATTTGGCCAAGAATTAGAGTCATTCCTAAAATAGTAAATATATGAAAGATTGAACCTAAGCCATCTTTATTTATGCAATATTTAGATTATAGTTTTAATATTATAAATTATATTATAAATTATAGTATTTTCTATATTCCTGCACATCTCGCAGACAGTTGTTTGCATTTTGCATGCATATTAAGAGAAGTCAACACTCTGCTTTTGAAAATCCAGGATATAGGCAGAACCAGCTTTGGGCTTTGTTAGCCAGGTATTAAAAATTCATGTCAAATTTGAAATATTTTTCTCCCCTCTTGGTAAAAAACAGGCAAAGTATTTGCATAGGTATAATGAGCAATTAGCCTTCAACCAAATTTCTGAAATCCATGCACCTTGGTAGAGGCGTCTGGCATCAGAGAAGGACTAAGTTGGTTTAACACTGAAAATATTTTACACATTTAAAAATCCTTTTTCCTGGAAATCTAATTATAATCAGTCCCCAGTGTGGGCTAAGTAAGTCAAGTATTGAAAAAAAGAGGCGTAGTAATGCCTTTTGGAAAGGCGTAATAACACCTTTTGGAAAGGCGTAATAACGCCTTTTCAAAAGGCGTTATTACGCCTTTTTCTGCGTTATAAATTTTTTTTACCGTAGTTTGATCCTAATAGGCTTTCGTACATCCCAACTCTAAAGCAAAATTTGAAGTTGAAAGAATTCTCTTTTTGTGGGGGCTAATCAAAGTTTTTTTTAAGCTGTCCCCTGATAATGCACCCTCCCCCTTTCAAAATCTATAAAAGAGCCTGACATTATTTCTTTTTTTTTCATAGCAACTAAAGTAGATTTTAAAAATTCCACATTATAATACGACTGGTAATGTTTCTCTCATTGCATTTAGCTAGGACTTCAGCAAATGTAAACAAGTAAGATGACATGATCTGCTTAATGAGTTCGTATCATTAATTATTGAATCATATAATAAAACAATTATTGCTGTGTTTTTTTTCAGTCAATGCGATGATTTTGCCACCTTAATTCGAAGTATAATATTCACATCGCTCTTCGGGCTCGGTGAAAATTGTACTCCTCAGGTGGCTAAATCATCGTATTAACCCCCAAAACAGCAATAATTGTATAATATATAATAAAAAAAAAACAATACATGATAATATCTGTATCAACCAATATCAGCCCTCTGACCGATATTGGAGTCTCGGGTTGATTTGGATCAGTGATATAGATTTTGCAATTTTATTGAAGGAAAGCGCTTTATAATTGGTGTTTTAATCATTTTCGATGATGAAATGTAAGTGTTTATTGCAAGTTGACAGAGTTCCTCCGCCGATAGGTACATGGGATCGAGGGCATAATTTTATAAAATACAGATTATTTATCATTTAGTGAAGAGTTACTACCGCCTTTTAGATTGAAAACGGCAATTTCTTGCATCAGTATGACCTACTTATTATTTTTAAAAAAGGTATCATGAGTTGTCAACAGTTAATCATTCAAATTTCTACAAATAAAATTATGCCGCAGGTTTGGAGAGAAAACAAAATGGATCAGGCTTGCAGGTTTTAATACGAAAATTTAAAAATATAAATGAAAATTGTGAATATCAATATGAATAAATCATATGGAGACGATCTCATGAATAAACTGCACACCATATGCCACTCTCTACCATCGGCTCATACATTCTCCTCTGTCGTTGGCTCGCGTATGTCACAGTGATAAGCACGAGAAATAGTGCGTTTGTTTTAATTCATTATTATTAAATGTCGGAGCTAATGATAGTCCTTTAAGATAGATATTTTCTAAATAGATTTAAAAATATTAGTTTAATTTGAATTTATCCTTGAAATGTTATGTTTTTTACGTTATGTCAAAAATCTTGACGCGAGCCCATTGCAGAGGTGTCTGAGAGAGGAACGAACGACAACTCTGCAAAGGAGATTGACCATATGCACGTAATAAATATAACAAAGCATACCGTTTTCCATATCACATATCTTATCCGCCCTCGACCAATATCAGTCTTCGAGCCCTCTTTTGGATATTGGCGTCTCGGGCTAATATAACATGACAAGAAAAAATAAATTCAATGAAAAGTAACATTGTCCAAACTCAAAAATCTTTTTTGGTGGGAGCGGTCCTCCTCCCCCTCCCGAAGTTTTTTTTTTTTGGTTGTTGTTGTTTTGCTTTTTTACCCCTACCCCTACTCCACCTCGTTGCTACGGGTCTACTAGATTCAAAGCAAGAGTTCAATGAGTTCAGGACATATATATTGCATATTCTAATGTTTTCCGACTTAAGTGTATCATGCAGCCCGTATATTATGTAATGTCAGATGGGGTGGGGGTGGGGGTGCAAAGGGGAAGACATGCGACTTATTTATTATTTATGTCAATATGCGAGTTATATGTTAACATGCAAGATTTTATGTCAAGATCCAAGATAACAAGTTGAATGACATCAGACATATCTCGCACGTTGACATAATTAACTCAAATGTAAAGATAAGTATCTCGCAAGTTAACATAAATAAGTCGCATCTCTGCATAATTATCTCGCATGTTGACATTAATAAGTTGCATGTCGACATGATTACGTATGTTGCATCCTGGACAAATTATGTCAGGTACTGGCGTGAAAAGTAAAATTGTAGTAGATGTACGTGGAAATATTTGATAACCCCCCTCCCTGCCTTTCTATAGAAAAAGGTAATCTTTGTATGACGTCATCATAACAAGTCTACTAAAACGTAACAAACAGTGTGACGCAACAATCGTCACTACAACAAAAAGCGAAGAAGAGAGGCAAAACACGGAGGTAAAACTCACCCAGACATAGTTCTTTTTAGATCGATACATATATAAGTACATTTTGTTTCAAATACGTTTAAGAAAATTAATGGTTAAGTACTTATCCTGACGCTATGTCTTTTTTTCGTAGAAATAAAAAAAATCATGGACTACAACGCAATTTTGGATTTCGGAGGGAACCCCGTCACAGATGTGGTAAGTTTACTCCTCTCCTATGCAATGTTTATATGTTCTAATCATTAGCATCCCGCCCCCTTGGATAGAAAATTAAAAAATATATCTAATACTAATACATGTTAGTAAGTTATTTATGAAGTTAATTATTTTTTGTTTGGATTTCACCAGCATCTGAAACTATGATCCCGAGAACTGGTCAATTCCCCCTTTCTTTTATAATTGGTACACGCTCCCCAAATCCCTGCATAGACATGGGCGTCTTGAGGGGAAGGAGGTCTGGACCCCCCTCCCCCGGAATGTTCAGAGTTGTTCAATTTCCATGTAAAAATTAAAAAAAGACCTTGACCCCCTCCCAGGAAAATTGACTTAGAAAAGTATCTCCTCCTTCCCCCATCCCAACTCCCTATCAAATAGGATTTTCAATTTTACAAGTTGTTTAGGTGTTGTTGTTGCTGTTGTTTTTAATTTTGCTTGTCAAAATATTTTAAAGTCAATTGTTACTGTTGATGAGGACACCCCCCCCCCATGCGGAAAAAATCCTGGGTCCGCCCCTGTGAGATTTGGATTAACAGATCTTTCAGGCCCATAGGAAACTATTTCAGTTTTTTCGGGGGAGGGGGCACAACCATTTAGATCTTCAGTTTGGATTGGCACAACAAAGATAAAATTCCTTGATAAGCTAAGAAAAAAGGGGGATCATTAGAAGTAATTACTGAGGGGGCACAGACATAAAAAAATCTTTGTTTTCTATAGTATATTATATATCGGTAAATTTAGGGGGCGGGTCCTACGGCCATGCCATTATTGATGAATACTTCCCCTGAATTATTTTTGAATTCATTCAATTTATCTAATATTAACTTGCTGATCAAATGAATATTTGCAGGATACTAAACTGAAGACCTTAAAGTTCGATTACCAGTGGGTTGACGCTGTGGAAGAGGAAGAGAGACGTTTGGAGGTACATATACAAAAGCTACCTATATGCATAAGTTAAATAGTAGTTTACCTATACCTTCGTCATTAAATTTATAGAAAAATATCTCTGGTTTGTGAGTCGTTTCAGGTCTTTGTTTTTTATACCCCCGTATCGAAGATTCGGGGGTATATAGTTTTTGCCCTGTCCGTCCGTCTGTTTGTCTGTTTGTTCGCATAAACTCTTACATTGCCCATAACTTTTGATTGGTTGGAGCTATAGCTTTCATATTTCACATGTGTATTCCTTGTGACAAGACCTTTCTTAGGGTACCATCATATTTGACCTTTTGACTTTGGAGTTTGACCCAGTTTTGCAAAATTTTACTAAACTTTAACCTTGGCCATAACTTTTGAATGGTTGGTGCTAGGGCTTTCATACTTCACATATGTAATCCTCGTGACAAGACCTTCCTTTTGATACCAACAACTTTGACCCTTTGATCTTGACCTTGGAGTTTGACCTACTTTTGAAAAATTTTAACCTTGGACATAACTTTTGAACGGTTGGTGCTAGGGCTTTCGTACTTCATATATGTCATCCTTGTGACAAGACCTTCCTATAGATACCAACAAATTTGAACCTCTGACCTTGACCTTGGAGTTTGACGTACTTCTGGAAAACTTTAACCTTGGACAAAACTTTTGAACGATTGATGCTAGGGCTTTTAACCTACTTTTGGAAAACTTTACCCTTTGCCAAAACTATTGAACGGTTGGTGCTAGGGCTTTCATTCTTCACATTTGTAATCCTTATGACAAGACCTTCCTTTGGATACCAACAACTTTGAACCTCTGACTTGACCTTGGAGTTTGACCTGCTTTTGGAAAACGTTAACCTTGGACATAACTTTTGAACAGTTGGTGCTAGGGCTTTCATACTTGACATATGTCATCCTTGTGACAAGACCTTCCTTTGGATACCAACAACTTTGACCCTTTGACCTTGGAGTTTGACCTACTTTTGGAAAACTTTAACCTTGCCCCATAACTTTTGAACGGTTGATGCTAGGGCTTTCATACTTCACATATGTAATCCTTGTGACAAGATCTTCCTTTGGATACAAACAACTTTGAACCTCTGATCTTGACCTTGGAGTTTGACCTTCTTTTGGAAAACGTTAACCTTGACCATAAATTTTGAATGATTGGCGCTACGGCTATCATATTGTGTATACATGTGTACATTGTGTATACATTTCTTGTGAGAAGGCCTTTCCTTGGGCACCATTAATTTTGACCATTTTACCTTGACCTTGATGTTTTATTTACTTTTGAAAAAACTTTTCCATATCTTTTCAATGGTTGCTGCTAGGGCTTTCATATTTCACAGGTATATTTCTCGAGACAAGACCTTATTTTGGGTACCAACATAATTGATTTGCATTTTAGAAAGATAAACCTATGCTTTAAGTTGCCATACGGCGGCATCAGTGTTTCACAAACACATCTTGTTTTTTTTTGTTTGTTTGTTTTTTTTTTCGACAAAGTAATAGTCAAACTAAATTATAATTTTGTGACAATGTTTTTTTTTTTTTGGGGGGGGGGGGTTGTTTGTTTTTTGTTTTTTGTTTTTTTTTGATTGAAAAATTAATTTTGTTTAAAAAATAAAGATGACATAAACTTCAGACATCTTCATGGTGATATACTAACCCGATTTTTTTCATCTGGTAGGAGGAACAAAAACAGAAAATAGAAATGAATAAAAAGTTAGATAAAGAAATTGTAGGAGAGAAGAAAGATAGCAACATAAATGACAACAGGTATGAGGATGCAATCACTGCTCCAAAAATTACGATAATATATCTGTATATGTTTTGTGTATCAATATTTGATGGTACGTGTAATGACACACTTTGTAAAATATTGTATTCTTTTATATTTTTGCAGTGTTGCAACAGCTTTGGACTTCGGAGATGAGCCGGTTAAAAATTGGGTAAGTACATGCATTTAGAATCCAATTTGTATCTTTTGAAATGCTGAACAGAAATTGCTGCACGAATGTATTTATGCAAAGTTAATCTTTGCCAAAATATATCCATCGTACGGGAAATCATTTTTGATAATCAAGGTCCTGTACATCAAATCATTCTTTAAGTCATTTTTTTATATTGTAGGTGAAGTTCATTTGAGTAGATAAATAATTAACACATCTCTCTATATTTGTGTATCATACATTTAACTGCAAGTAATTTATTTGGTTGTTCTTTTTTCAGGAAACAAAGCTCCAGATTCTTAAGTTTAGTTATAGTTGGGCAGATCAGGTAGAAAAAGAGGAAAAGGCAGTGATTCAGGTAAAAATTTTGTAGAATGAAGCAAATTTCAAGCAATTTTTAATACCATAGAACTGTTCAGAGTTTTCTAATACATAAAAAAATTCTAATATACATTTGTGATTAAGTTCATAAATAATGTAGCAACTCTGACATTTCAATTACCATTTTATTTTTGCAGGAGGCAAAAGCTGCAGAGGAGAGAGTTCACAAGGAGGAAAATAAAACCCAGCATACTAGTATTGGAGGAATCCTGACAAAACAACAGAAAAAATCTCCTAGGATGTTAGTCTCCCTTTTCTTAGTTCTTTTCAACCTTTGACATTTTATTTGATAAATTTTAATATGATTAAGGATTTTTTTTCCTTCCTGTAAAATGTACCCTGCAAAATATTTTCAGATTAATATTTTTCTTAGTGATTCAGTAACTGATCCATAAGTTATTTCATACATCAAGTCTAATACATGTACTATTACCTGGAAAAATATTGATTTAAAAAAAATTACTCCCTGACTTTTTGTAACTTGCAAACTTATTTCAATTAATTTATTAATTACAGGAAACTAGCAGCTTGTGTAAGAAGACTCAAAGCAAAGGAACTTGCTAAGACCTTGATTGAAAAACAAAGCATAATGAAAGTAGAGGTAAAGGGATCAATTCTATATTGAACAACAATGATTTACTCATTTGAATTTTTCCAGTTAGTTATTGAAGATGGGATTTTGCTTCTAAGAACCAAAGTTTTGACAGTAAGATAAATTTATAATATATAATGGAAACAAAATGTATATGAACTTATTTCTTCCATTTTTAGACTGCTGAACCTACAAAACAAAAGGACCCAAGGGATACAAAAAAGGCATTAGATCTAGGAGCAGTTGGAGATCAGAAGGAGAAATCAGATGTCGATGCGTCAGAAGCGTCTGTCAAACCAGCAGTCCAGGATGGAGAAGTGTGTGGACAGTCATTAGTTGGCATTTTAGACACCCCTGTAGATGTTTTAACGAATCCTTTTCCAAATACTTCAGTGGATATGTCTACTGTGTGTATTACAAGGACCTCTGAGGATAAGAAAATAACATCTCTGCAGAAAGAACAGGAATGTATTGATATACATGTACCAAAAGCAATGGAACTAGAAGTTAACAAGGATCAGAAGATTACACTTAAGGTACATAAAAACGGCACTTACATGTACTTTGGATGTAACAGTTAGGAATGCAAGAGACTTCTTGAAAATATTCACAAATTTACATACTTTTAATGTACTTTCTATACTTTTTAAAAAAAGTTATCATAAAAGTTTGATTGTGATATACATGTATTACTTCCAGCTATTGAATAAGGACGATGATAGTTATTGCGATGATGACGATGATGATGATGGCTTGTTTGGGCCAAGGAGACTTTTCTTCTTTGGAATTGACTTTTTTAAGGTATAACAAAGCTACTTTTTTAATTTCTCAATAACCATGGAAAGAGTTGTAGACATGTATGTGTTGAAGAATATTTTTAATTACTGTTTAAATTGTTTGATCATATAGGCATCTTTCTTGTCTTTACAAATACTTCTAATGAATTTTAATAATTACTAATAAACTTGAAAATGTGGATAATGCCAACCTCTTCTATTCTCGTATTAATCAAATTTAATTTTATTCAAAACATTTTTCAAAAACTTTTTTTTAATAATTTTCATTTGATGTAGGATTCTGAAAAAACTGTCTGGTGAAGAGAGGCATGAAGGAAAGAATACAACGAACAAAACATGATAGAACTATTTCTTGTTAAAGAAAGAATATATTTCCTTGAAAAATAAATTTTATTACCTATTAGATAAAGGGTTTGTTCTTTATAAGAACATTTTCATTTGTCGTAAGTAGAAAGGTTTCATCGATTACCGGTATGTAACTTGAAAAAAGCCTCCCGCAATGAGGCTAATCTGTATTGGATATATGCCGAATACAGTTCTGTATTAAAATTATTAGGCAGTTTGAGACCCAAGTTATATTTCAGTTGATATGCGTGCATCAAATCTATTGTTGAGCTCCAAGGAAAAGATGGACAAATTGACTGCAAATCTTTTCTATATATGAAGTTGGAAAGGAAAAAATAAGTTGATATGGATAAAGGAAATAAAAACGAAAAAAAAAATACATAAAAAATAAACGTACGATCCCCAATATTGCGAATCTCATCCCATCAAGCAAGCGGGGGGGGGGGGGGGCACTAAAGCACTACCCTCTATGTGACAACATTGAAGAATACAAAGGGATTGGAAAGCAGTCTTTGCCAGGAGGATATAAAGACCGATTGGCTAAGCCTATCAGAAGTTTGGTCAGATCAATGGAGGAAGTGAATCGTTTCCAGCTTCTCTTTTTAACAGTTGAGTGAGAGGATAGACATCTCTGACAAGAATCTGCACTGAAACCTCGGCTTCACCCTGTTTTTACTTGAGACCTCTTTAGTATCACTTGGGCAAAGCCATGTCAATTACGTAAAAGGCAGTTCTTTAAATACTATAATGAAGGGTACTGAGAAAACGAGCGCCACTCTAGATTATTACTGCTTTACACAGTGCTTAACAATGACCCAAAGATTCAATGACCTCGCTAAATTCAGTCTCATTTAAGGACAAATTAAATTGAAGTCCAAGCTTTTTTTTTTTACATCACTGATAGCTGTTTTTGAATAAAAATGGAACGTTAATTTACTTACCTTGACATTGGTCGTTTGCAATATTATTTTGTAAAATACTCTGATTGTACACACAAGTATTCTGAAGTTGTTATTCAAAAGATGCTTGAGTTTCTGGTTGACAATATCTATGTAGTTTTTGGACATCAGGTCTTCCAACAATCTTTCGGAATTCCCATGGGTACCAATTGCACCCCGTTATAAGCAGACCTAATTTTATATTTATATGAAGCAGAATTTATTCAAAATCTTATACATGAGAAAAAGAAAACACTTGCTGTGGCCTTCAATCGACATTTAGATATATCGACGACTCATTATCAATGGACAATAGTTACTTCCATTCATATGTCGGCTCGATATATCCCAGTGAGCTTGAAATAAAAGATACCACAGAGTCTGACACATCTGTTTCATATATGGATATTTTACTAGAAAAAGACGTTAATGGTAACCTAACAACAAAGCTTTCTGATAAATGTGAAAACTTCTACTTTTCAATCGTCAACTTCTCTTACTTATGTAGCAATATACCCTTATCACCTGCATGCATATGGGGTTTATGTCTCTCAATTGATTCGATACGCAAGAACATGCTCTACGTATGAACAATATCTAAAACGAGGCAAGCTATTGACAAAAAAGTTGATGAAACAAGAATATAAACAGTCTTGTTTAAAGTAATCATTTCTCAAGTTTTATGGTCGATACAATGTCCTTGTCAGCAAATAAAATCTATCATTAAGTCAAATGATGACTGATGTTTTTCATACTAATTGCTAGGCCATTATTCACACACCAAATTGTTTAGATTTTTCCGGTTTTCACCCCTGATCATGACAAAGAGCACACAGCGGATGTGACCAGTTGGTAGGGTATGTTCACTCCTCCATGGCACCTGTTCCTACCTCTGATGTTTTAGAGGTTTTGCTCTGCTCCTGATTTGTATTGTTTGAATGGACTTATGAACTTGAATATTATTCGTTATCTCTATATTTCATTCTATGCTTAAAGGGACATAGACACAGATATGAAGTTAATATTTCCTTAAATTTTCTATATAATATCATGACTTATATGTTGCTATAGCATTTCACACGGAAATATAATTAAAAAAAAAAACATTTTATCTAGAACTACGAATTTCGGGAAAACCAACTCACCAGTATTGTCAGTCCGTGCTCAGCGATGTGCGCAGAGTTTAACAAATTGAACACACCCGGGAAACGTAAACTGTTTGCATTTCGTTCCGCTTCATTGATTTTTTACGGAATTACGACCTTTTCCATTTTTCAGAGTTTTCCGCAATTTTTTTTCTAAACGCTTGCAGATATTGAGCTGATTTCGATATGTGACTTTACCTTGATGAGTTATAGATCAAGTTTGCATTTCATTCCACTTCATTGACTTTTGACGGAATTATGGCATTTTCAATTTTCAACGGGAATCAGATTACACTTGCCGGTAGGGGACTAGTATTGCTAATGCAATACTCTCAGAATGCTTGTTATTTATTACAAGCGCTCCGAAATCAAATGATCACCACTACCAATATATATACGGTAATAATATCTACACAATACGTGTTAACGTTCAATATACAGATTAAGAAAAAAGTCATCACCCATGTAAGACATTCTATAGAGAAAATGCTAGGTTTAATGTTTAGCTTGTTTAGAAATCAGATATCATCCTTTTGACAAGTACTGAACACCTAGGTAAATTCTTACAGCTGAGTTATTCCCGATATACAGGGTGTTTCA